AAGCTAAAAGCATGAAGCCCTATGTTTCACCAGAAACTCAAAGCAATGAAAGGAAAGCAATCATCGATGGCGATAACAACAAATTGGTTTTGTTCAAGCGAAATTCCAAGTAGCCTATAGATTCGTCGTAAGTGAAGCTGTTGTCAAGATTATCATGATGCCTCGAATAATCGAAAATTTAAGCAGCAGAACAAAGTTCAGTTATCGAATGATGAATGTTTCTTTTTCTAGTGAAATACACGTTTGATTTAGTGAGAAGTTCATGAATCAATTCTGCATCTATTGTAACACAGAATTTCGTAACATATTTATTTGACAACAATTCACGATGTTGCAAATGTATTATGTGACCTGTTTAAACCACCAGGCTAATTAAATTTCCATTGAAAGTAGTTGGTATTCAGGAGGTTTTACTAGCTGCATCGCGAAATTACTGACCTCTATAAGAGCGAATGGACTGACATATGAATGCTTATGTGGTACGAAACGCCAACTTGCAGGAAGTTTCTTGCTGTTTACCGAAATGACAGTACCGAATTCATACACAAAAGTAGGAATAATTGGCGCAGTCTTACTCACTATATTCAAAGTATACCCACAAACTTTATGGTATCTACGCTTTTATTCTTATTATTATTGGTCACTCAGATTCCGTATGGAACATAGGGCTTCAAATGCACATCATCGTTCTACTCTTTTCTCTACGGTTTCTGCATGTTAACCCATAACATTTGATTGCCTTCCCAAATGATCATCTCCGTATCACACTCGAAGACATGCCCGACTCCCCATTAACCACGAGGATTTCGCTGGATAAACTAACGTGCAGCGTCATTCAACGGTCTTCTGAATGTGCCTTCGGTCCGTCTACATTTCCTCCAACATATATACTGAGCAGCACGTTCCTGGTTGATTATCTACGGTATAAGCAGCATTAATTTTATCAAGCTGGTATAAAATTGATGATCACTCTTTGATATTCAATCTAGAAGACAACTGACATTCATATTCAAGAACTATTCTCATTTGAATTGTGAATGTGTTGACACGAATAATGAACGATTCGCTCGTTTTTGACATATTAAACTACTTCATCTTACTAACACTTTACCACATGAAAACATACAACTGATCATTTGAATATTATGCCTACATTGAAAAGACACAGAAGACTGCCAAGAAGAAACAATAAGATCATTAATTACAACTAAATATGTACTTCCTTCCTTTGTGGAGCACTTGACGCGTGGCATTGTCATATAGCTGTCAACCTCATTCAACAGAACGCTTTATGACAATTCCACGTGTTAAGTGACCCACAACGGAAAACTCAGCGAGTCGTTTGAAGTGAATACAGGGGTGAGACAAGCTGGCTGCCTATTATCAGCGATGATATTCCTAATCGTGGTGGACTGGATTATGCGTCAGACTGTTGGTGGCTAGGAGTCAGGAATACGCTTGACGACCGATAAGAAGACTCTAGAAAATCTGGCTTTCGCAGATGACAAATGTCTAATGTCACACAAACTCGAAGACTTGCATGCAGGAGAAAACCAACAAACTGGCTGAAGAAGCAGGTAGCGAAGACAGGACTTCAAGTGAACAGAGAAAAGACGGAGGTGATAAAGATGATCAGTTAACATCAGCAACAACCAGCACCAATCACCATCAACGGGAAAGATTTAACAGAGGTTGTCTCCTTCACTTATCTAGCCAGGAAGCATCGTTTCAACCGCAGGTTGGCGGAAGGGATGAAGACGTCAAAGTCAGAATCGAAAAGGCAAGATACGCCTTCATCAACCTGAAACCAGTCCGGAAATCTTCTGCACTACACTCAGCGTTAGGAACAAGATTCTCATTTTCAACACCGATGTGAAGTTTGTTCTTCTATACGGGTCAGAGAGTTGGCGACCGTGTCACGAAAAGGATTTCCAACAGTCAGATGAGGAATTTCACCAACAGCTGCCTTCACTCCATATTGAAGATCAAATGGCCAGAAAGAATAAGCAACAAGAAACTCTGCAGTGGAACAAACCAGAGGGCGAGAGCAGATTGCTCAAAAAATATGCAGGAGAAAGTGGAGATGGATGGGGAATACATTGAGGAAGCCACTGAATTCCATGACACGCCGGGCCATCTCTTGAGTGAAGTCAAACAAGGCCGGTATTGACGTAAGTCTGTCCACAGTAGCATATTCGGTTACGCGCTGTGTCTGAAACATATTTAAAAGCGCTTATTTGACATAAGGTTTGAAAATCCGAATGATTGTTCTTTACGCTGAGTGCAACATATTTCAATACCGATTTTGTAGTGAATAATGAAGGTTTGTCTTGGTTTATTGATCTTAATGGCTTTGACATTCCCATCTACGCCACCTGTCTTTAAACAAATCTATTTGTTGTTGTCTGAACGTAGGAGACAACTCAATTTATTCTTCAGTGTATTAATTATTCATTTATTATTTCATTCGTTTTGCGTTCTGAGTGGACCATGGGGCTTCAGGCATCAGCTTTGAAGATTCAGTAGCAGTGCTGTTTTCACAGGATGGTGTCGCTAGCCTCACGTCCAACTTTCCATCTTTGTTGGTGTTTTAAGTGACTAGTTGGGGTGAAGGTGTGTGCCCTCCGGAGAGTGAACCACGGACCACATGCATGGTTGGTGAGCACGATACCGCTGAACTGGTTACTCGCCGTCCTACTGCAAAACCAAAGGAAATTACCTCGAGTAATGCACAGTCACACAAATTCCTCAACGACGGCAAAAATACAGTTGCTCCAGATAAAATCCACGTTACTGTTTAAAAATAATAACACGAAAAACTCGAAATTACCACAAGAGTACCGTTAAGCTAACATACAGCTTAGAGAGGTTTGCAGTATAAAATGAGTAGTGTAGAACAAAATTAGTCAATCCAAATTCAACTGTGAGAAGTATCTGAGAGTATTTCCAACAAGGTGAGATCAATACACCGTCATCAAGAATCCCACACACACACACCTCACAGACAGTCCAAGGTCAGAATGAACATCTTTCACTCCAAATCACATTACAATACAATACATTTTCAAGGTGTCGCATTTATGTATTTACAACAGTAGATGACGTTTGGTCCTTGGATGTGATGGGTCTGTTTCCACAGACGTCTTGTGGCAATCAGTACCTGTTGGTGGTGACAAAAGACGCCATCACGATCCCTGATCAACGCGCGGGAACCGTGACTGACGCAGTTGTTCGACACATCGTTGAAGATCGCTGTGTACCAAAGACCATCTTGACAGATGGGGACCCTTGTTTTGAAAGTCAAGAATTCACTTCCCGTTTGCTACAGTTGGGTATCAAGAGGATCATAAACAACACCATATCATCCACTAACGAGTGGTCTGATAGATAGAAATAACCGTACCCTGAAGGAGTGGCTGGGTTAGGGTTTAGGGCTCGCTAATTAGGCGAGAAGATGCGTCACTTGGGAGAATCGTGTATGGAAAAAGCACATTCACAGGGAAGTGCACACACTTATTTAGATACGTGCCCATTAAATATAAAAAAAATGTTGATAAATGTCTTACGAACAGAGCAAGAAAGATATATTCAGATGACCCCTTACAAAAAGAATTTGAATATATTCATGATTCCTTGACGGAGATGGGGTATCCCAGTGGTTTTGCAAAGAAACATATGAAAACATCAGAGAGAAAACCTGAGACTATGACAGCACGGAGAAAACCTCTATTTAGTTAATGGTGACTTGTCAAGTAAGATTTTTTTCCGAAAACTTTCAAAGAGTATAAAAAAAACGTTTTACACAGCAAACCTAGGTTTTTGGTTCTCTAGCCAACGGATGATTGTAACGCAAACGAATGATAAGCTAGATAGTTTTGCCACATCTATGTGCATTTATCAATTCAACTGCAACTGTGGTGACAGTTATGTTGGGCGTACTACTGAACAGCTTAGCAAACGTGTCATTATTGAATATCTCTCATCATGGTTTGACAAAGGACAGATAAAAATAATCCGTGACTCAACTTTGTCACATTTGGTCGCTAGTGGTCATGTAGTGGAGAAAACGACAGTTTTCAAAGTAATTCACACTGATCCACCGAATCTTTCCAATAGACTTAGTATTCGTTCACTGCACACAGCTGAGGCAGGTGATAGGCATTCGAACTATTTAACCTAAACTATGCATTCAAAAGAAGTTCGTACAGCCATTATCCCCCCCCCCTCTTGGCCTATTAAGACATAACCAAGTGATAGCTTCTCCACCATCACCTACTTATATTTTCAACCCCTCTCTTATCATACCTTAATCTTATCACATCTTCATTAAAACGTATTTTATTTACTTCCTTTACAATCTGAAATTACTTAATTGGTTCATTTGTTTTTACTAGCCTTTATCGACTACTACTGTGTGAACATTTGTTTGTTTAATCATGCTGTTTTTCATTATTCGTGTAATTACAGATTGCCTCACTTTTTCACCCTTATTATTGATAAAACCAGTATTATTATTACGACTAATTGCACAATTTATATTCACAATCTTATTATCTATCCCATGGACAAAACACCACGATTGGTTTATATATTTGAATATTTCTTTGTAAAGTTATGTGTGTATATTAGAGTTAAGCCTGATGAGATCTAAATGAAAACAATTTGTGTTAGTATCCACTGTACTTTCCTCCAAAATGTCAACGTACACCCTCTTCCTTTGAACTGGTTATCTGGTATACAGATATCTGTCGTTTCACTTAAATTATGTAGATTAGAGTAAAGCTTGAGTGAAGATCTAATTAAAAACTAAAACACGATATTCTTCGTTTATGCGTCTTGTATCAGTTTTAATTACGGGAATGTTCAATGATTTGAAGTGCAAGCAAGACTGAGTTTGTTAAAATGAATTTATTCTTAAAACTCTGAACTTTATTTATGAAATTGAATGTTTAATATATATTCTTTAAGAAAACTACATTAAAGAAAGAATGTTTATGTGTTAATATTACGAGGATAATAGGTGTCCGGTGTTCTTCAGATTATCTCCTTGAAATGATCTCAGGTCTCTGTATGAAAATAAGATAAGATAGGTTAATTTTGAATAAATATCAAGAAATGTAGCAGTATAGAGTGTATTCTAGCTGAATAATCATTATTACATTATTACTGTTTCCTTTAATTCCCCTAGAGGAACACAGAACTTCAGCCGCAGGTCTTCATTGCGTTCGCGGTTCTCTGCCAATGTTTTCAACTGACTCCACGTATTCCCATATGCTTTCATCTCCTCGCCACATCACCTAATCCTCCATGTCAACCCACCTTCGTACTGACGACCAACTTGTTGCTTCCCATTCGGGTTCCACTCGAGCGACGGCCTGTCTTGTGATTGCACTTGGTGATTTGTTTTTTCGGAGTATGGCCAGTCCACCTCCATTCTTTCTGCAGATTTGTTGCACAACCGTTTCCTACTGGGTTGGTTCGTACGTTCCAAGAGATTCCTCACCACTGCTGGTCTTTTGTAACCGGCTATCTGAGTTTGAGTATTGAGTGAAGATAGCTGTTGATGAAGGACTGTAGTTGGTTTGAAGTGCTCTTCATGACGCGCCAAGTCTCTGATCTGTATAGTCGCACTGACTTTACACTGAAGTTGAAAAGCCGGATCTTATTAACTTTTTCATGCTGAGTGCTGTTGACCTCCACACAGACTTGGTGATAGTAATGAAAGCTTGCCTTGCTTTCCTGATCCTTTCTGCTTTGATATCCTCGTCAGTTCTATCCACCTGTGGTTGGAACGATGCTTATTGAGGGAATGGGCAGGTTAAGAAGGTTGCTTTCTTCAGATTTCTCCGATTTATGCTGAATAATACAATCATTCAAGTGTTCGTCTGTAGAGATGTGATGATTGGTTACAGGATTCCATCATGATAGGGTGATAACGGTTAGAAAACCATTGAAAAAAATAGCTTGGCAGTAATGTACTGCTGTTTAATCACCCAAGCGTGGGACTGTTCATCAGTACTCACCTGTCACGATCAAGGTTCGAACCCAGGATATTCCGATTGCAAGGTAAGTTCGTAAACCTCTCAGTGAATAAAAGGCCTTTATACACCTGCCTAAAATATAAAGCGGACTACACAATAGCAATGACCAGCAGATGACCTGAGAAATCGCTTGCTAGAACATTCCTTGAGACTAGATAGATTTCTCTCTTCCAGACAACATATTCCTTAGTTCACTCAGAAGTCGACAGTTATCCTAACTTTACCAGCTTCAATTGTCTCTGTCAATTTAATAGGGTAGTCAATACTGAGGTTAAGCATCAGTCGAGTACTAGGTAAGGAGGGCAAATCAATAGACGAGGCTGTGAAGCTATATCGACTGAGATGGTTAGGACATGTGTAACGTATTCATCCCTAGATATCGTCTTCCTCAACAATGAGCAATGTTAGGTGACATAGGGTCAAGTTAAAAAAGAGCTAGTTCTTGGTGGTCAAACCAAAGCATGGCTTCATCAGTCAACGAAATCCACAACAGTTAATTGACGCCAGCCAGTCACATTGGAAGGTGTAAACTTCTTGTTTTCAGTCCTCGAGACTGTACACACCAATGGCAAAAGACAATTGGTTATATGGCTCAAAATGTTTGTTCTCAATAGCAAGCGCAGATACATCCACTCCTTGTGACTTATAATATCCAATAAAGCTATATTCTTTTCCGATATTACTATTCTTTTTGACCCATATTTCTGTTTACTTTCTCTACTTTGGATATCGTTTCACTTTCTTCTCTTGCTTTGTGTGCTACATGTAGGGAGTGTGACAACTTGAACTGCTACACATCGGCGCAAAGTTCTTTGTTGAAATTAGTCAGTGAGTCAGTGTTTATCAATTTGCATTTGTGTTGAGATTAGGAGCGAGTGAATCTTTGAGTAGCGCAATTATGTGACATCTGATTGACACATAACACCAAGTAGACAACTTGCATTTCTTTTAGAAGGATTAGTAAACAAGCAAGCTCAAGTTTGTTGAAGTTCATAGAAGCCATCACTGTCAAACAGTTCTAAACTTGATTTATGTAATCAAAAGGAAACTGTAGTAATTCTTTCCCTAATTTGATAACTCCTCTTTCAAGCCCCACTGCTTCTATCCTCTTTTTATTAGATGTTACGGTTGATTTCTTTTCACTCTTACGTAGTTATATTCTGATTTATTAAACTTCACACCTCGTAAATCTGATATCGAACTAAATGAGCTTAACTCACAACAGGTTTTTATATCTCACCTGTTTATTAAGACGGACTTGTATTGTCTGAAGTTTAACCACGAATAGAAATCAGTTAGAGAACCATTGAAAACCATCATGGAATAGTGGACTGGGAACTGTTTCGTCCAAGTTTGGGACTAATAGTCAGTACACATCAATCCGGGTTCGAACGCAGGACCACCAGATTACTAGACAGGCCTTTCAGACATTCAGATACAAGGACCAGGGATTATAAGACGGCTGTTTCATCCTAGTTTGTGACTCTGGGGCGGGTATGCATTCATGACCTCAGCATTGATTGAATCGAGTAACATTAGGTCACAAGGCGAGCATATTAAACATACGTCTATGGAGAAAGACACACAATGGTCCATTCCATCATGTTCAGAGTCATTATCGTGCACTGTCATATGTGAGTGTCTGTAGTGAACCATTGCAAAGTGGACCCTACTGCTTACCCTCAAGAAATCAGTGCTTGCCAATCCATTTTTATCAGACTAGATCAAACAGCAAAGGTAAATGCTAATATATCCGAATGGTGCTCTGTTTGATGTACAACTACTTATACTTCAACTTCGTCAGATATGTAAACGCCTTTGACAGAGTTGACTGCGAAGTAATTTGGATAATGCTTCAACACTACAGAATGAAGTGCCACAAACCTTTATCAGCCTCATTCAACAGCTGTATGACAATTTCAAATACCAAGTGATTCACAATTAAAAACTCAGTGATGCTTTTCAAGTGATGACAGGAGTAAAAACAAGACTGCTTACTACCCCAAAGGATATCTTTGATTTTGGTGAACGGGATCGTATGACACGAAGGGAGAACTCAGAGATACTTTTTTGGTGGGGAGGGGGACAAGAAGACTAAAGAGGATTTTGACTTTGCAGACGGTTTATGTCTAATATTACACAAGCTTGAATATCTTCAGGAGAAATCCAACAGACTTGCAGAAGAGGTAAGCAGTGGAGACAGGATTTCAAGTGAACATAGAGAAGACGAATGTGATGAAGTTAACCGACGACCACCATCACCTCCAGCACGAATCACTATCAACAGGAGGAATTTGGAGTAAGTCACTCCCTTCATTTATCGGGGGAAGTATCGTTCCAACTAAAGGTGACAGTACGAATGAGAATTTCAAACTCAGTCAGTACTTCTACATCGTTCACAGAGTAACCACGTCACTAAAAGCATATTGAGCAGGCTTCAGACCTTCATCAGTGGCTGCTTTCGCTCCATCCTCCAGAAGAGATGCCCAGTCAGCAAGCATTAGCAGCAAGGAACTCTGGAAACGAACCAGTCAGGAACCTGCCGCTTAACAAAGATTTCCGAAGGAAATCACGTTACTATGGAGAATGCCGGGTGATTTCGTGCATCAAGGCGTAGGATGGAATCCTAAGTGGACGAATTAGTCTTCTGAAGGTGACATGAAGGAAGTAGTTTGACGTGGAGATGACAGGCGTTTGGATTTTCTTGGGAGCAGATGAAGAGGACTGCGAAGAACAAGAGAAAATGGAGACACGTTGTTGAATTCCAATGTTCCGACTCGTAAAACAAGGGGATAATATTGATGCCATATTTGGAACACTGAAATGAAATGAGAAACAAGCAATTCTAGCAACAACAACACAAAACAATTATTCGTACAAACATACTTCATTTTTTGATTTCTTCATCCATGGCACGTTTCATTTCAGTTATTCTTTCATTTTTAGACATTGCTAAATATTCAGTTGAGATGATGATTAGCATTCATATTATATATGTCCAAACCAAGTTCACTTTTAACAGTGTAAAAACATTCGGGCATTGGGTTTATAATATTCATCATAATAAATGTTTTCTTGTGTTTCCCAATGAATGAAAAACAAAACGATATTGCTGCTTTTACTGACGCTTCGCTATTTAATGTTGCTGCTAATAGCTTTATCGAAGTATTATTAAACCAGAATTTACAAAATCTCAGCATATATATAACAAATAGTTAAGAGGTCAGAAAATAGACTTAGGTAAAGTTAAAAGGACACATTGAAAGTTAAAATACCAATGAAGATCACTAAATCAAATAACGAAGGTAATAGTTCATCTGTTATAGCCATCGTTCGTTATTCTGGGGTCATTTTTCGTTGTCAAGTTGATCATTTGGTAAAGATAACAAAATCAAGTGTAGATCGTTGGATTTGATCAGTGTTTAAAATTAAAAAGACAGTATGTGTTTACTAAGTGAACTCGCATATCACATTCGTGTTGATTTTGTCACTTCATGGGGGATGGAGTTGTTGTAATCAGGTCAGATTCTGCTTTAGTCCATCATTCCTATTCAGGTAATTTGGATTCCACTTGATATGAAGTGCTTCTGATATTAGACGTTCTTTATGATTTCTGAAGTTTTTCTGGATCATTTCAATATTGTCAAAATCAATTTTGTGACCTGATTATGTAGCATGTAGACCAATGGCTGATGATTTTTCAAGTTTTTCCAGTTCAATTGGATTTCCCGATGGTCGAACGGATAAACTGCGGTGTTCATTTCTTCTGATTTTGATTTCTCGAGATGTTTGTTTGTATATCGCATCATATTCCAAGCAATCATTTTATTTTATAGACAAAATTCGATAGAGAATCTTTGAAGATTTGGTCTTTTATATGGACAAAGTTGCTTCACAGTGTGTCTGATGTTTCGAAGTAAACGTTGATGTTGTGCTTATTGAGTACTCTTCTAATATCATCTGACGTCTCCGCTCTATAGAGAGCGACATCTGTTGAGGTCCATGTTTCCGGAATACGTTTTTCATCATACTTTATATCAGTGTTGATTTTGTTGATGTAGTTCTCTGGGTAGTTGTTTTGTTTGAGAGTCTCAGTAATGTGTAATATTTCTTCTTCCTTTTCTTTGTCATCCGTCATCAAAAAGTGCGCTCGTCTTAGAAGACTTGAAACAACTGATACCTTTCCGATGGTGGGGTTTGATAATCCGAAGTCTAAATATTTATTGGAGTGGGTTTTCTTCCTGAATATAGGTATAATAGTATATCCGTCTTCCCTCCTCTCAACTAGGGAAGCAGTCAAGAAGTGGTAGTTCACTGACGTCTGATTCTGCTTCCGGAGTAAACTGGATTCTAGGAGATAGGTTGTTAAGTTTGCCAAAGAATGAACTGTGTAGATCTCGTTTTAGCACTACAAAAGTATCATCTACATATCATAACCATATTTTAGGAGTGAGTATGCTTGAAAAGATGTTATCTTCGAATCTATTCATGAAAAGGTCAGCGACGTTTGAGGAGACTGGTGAAGCCATAGCAACACCATTTGTCTGTCTAGATAATTTCCCTTTAAATGTAAAATAATTACTTTCTAGACAGAATTACAAGCTCTTAATTATTTCCCTTGTGTCCATTGGACATCTTTGTGATAGCGTTGTATCTGATTCTAGAAGACTGGAAATGATATCAAGACTTTGGGTGATAGGGATACTAGTATATAATGAGTTATTATCATGGCTCACCATAATGTTTTCTTTATCAATTTTTCGGTGTTCTATTTGGGATTTGAAATCATATGAATTGCTTACAATATTTTGAGTGTCCTTTTGTAGTGTTTTATTATCGACAGTAAGTATTTAGATAGGTTGTATGTCGGTGAGTTGGTGAAATCTATTACTGGTCCCAATGGAATTGTGGGTTTATGTATCTTTGGTTGACCGCAGAATCTTGGAGTTACACAAGATTTTGGTTTTAGTTTAAACCAAAGAGAATATCCAATTTTGGGTTTCATTTCTTGAAGGAGTCTGTTTGTATTTAGTTTCATTTTATAGAATTCGGCGGATTTCTTCTTTTCTTTAATAATACTTTGATAAAGCTATTAGCAAGCATTAAATAGCGAAACATCAGTGAAAGCAGCAATATCGTTTTGTTTTTCATTCATTGGGAAATACACAAACCTTTATTATAGTGAATAGCATTCATATTAATTATGAATATTGAAAACTTACTTTTTAAGTATTTAATTCTTAGAACTTCAAGGTTAATGACTTTGTGTTTTAAATCCCCTTGAATGAAGAGAAATTTAATAATAATAATAATAACAGTAATAATTTGCATTATTCCAAAACAGTATTGATGATACAGTGAGGAATTCTCAGAATTTTCTTCAATATTGTCTTTCTAACTTCCGCGACAATAGCAAAGACAAAAATCAAGCAAAATAATATCACAGGATTGATAATGGCAGTTGTTTCGGGATTTTGATTGACAGTAAAGTCAAAAATGTACAGAGGCGTAGAACAATGATGATGATAATAATATTGCGAATGGCTAAGTTAACAGTTGATTGTTATATTGTTGTAACGACAGAAGACAAAGGCCAGGCAACAAATCGTTTATTGAGAAAGTCAAGAGATATTTATACACTTTTATGTGCATTATTATTAGCGTTATTGCTAACGGTAATTCTGTTATCTGTTTGTGGCCGTTTCTTAGAAATTTAAGCCATTTAGCTGCGAATAGTGTTTCCATACTTTAACTCCGCTGTGATTGGCTGTTGATTTTCCCAATGAAATTACCCACTGCAGTCCTACAGGAGGTCAATCGCAAGTCCGAATAGCTCAGTGGTAACGTCTCTTACTGCAGGTAGCACTAGGAAACACGGGTTTAAATTTCAGAAGGGACATGAGTTCCTTCAAGGTTATCGCAGATACGCCTTGCTGACTGACTGATGCATGCCAACTAGAACGAAACCTAGGTTCAAAGCTTCCTGTCGATTGCCTCCGACTATCTAATATCAGCAAAGTTGTAGAGTCATTAGATAAGACTAGACAAGTTACATTTTATCATAAGTCCATTGGAGTAGTTTCACAGTGCTAGACTGATTGACAAAAACTACTATTTCATCATTCTCAGGCAAAACTATCTAGTTCTTCTGATAAGGCTTATTGTATATTCTTAAGACAAACAAATTGAAGCGAAAAATATTGTGTTTCCAATTAGATTTCATCAGGCCTAATTAACTATAACATACCCGTATAACTTTAAAAATAAGTATATAAAGATATAAACCAATCACGGGGTTTCGAAGACCTTTAGCTTGACATTTTGTACGTCCTTTAGATTTTTCTCTTATGGATTTGTAAATTTTATGTATGTCAATGTACCTGTTAATTGCTAATTCACTGGAACACCAGGCTTCCGAAAGGTCTCTGGCATACTTGATGTTTCCTATTCATAATATTTGAACATTGTCCCAGTCGAGATGATATCCCTGGTTGTTTGTATGCAATGAGTGATATGAGCGAGTGAATATCATGTTTTTTGACGGTTAGTTTGTGTTCATGGATACAAAGAAGAAAAGAAGAAGAGGGCGTCCACCTTGGCCAGTGTCGTGTTTTCCGCAATCGTTGCAAATTATTTTGTAGATGATGTTGGTTTTAGCTTCTTTCACTGTTATGTTTGACATCAATTTCTAAAGGTTTGAAGAGTCTGAGACGACCTTTTATACATATGGTTGGATGATTTTCTTTGTGTTTTCCTTGGGGGCCTTTGCTTCGTCAGATTGGCTTGAGGGTAGATGTCTACAAATGAAGTTTCTTGGATATCTATTCTTTTTTGGAAGACGTTCATGAGATATTTTTGTTGAATTTTCATTAAGTTAGGTATGCTGCAGTGAATCCCAGCTCTATGGAATAGTGTTTGAATGCAACTGTTTTTGTGACTTATCGAGTTATTGCTGTTGTGTAATTGATTATTTGATCTGTTTGCGTTGAAATTCTAGTTTGCCTGTGGTTGTTCTCTTGATCAAGTTTGAAAAAAAATAGAATTTTCTTCGCCGGATTCCTCAATTTGTGAGTTTTGACTAAGTCGTACCTTGCAGGTTTAGCTTAGGGATATTTTCACTTCAGATTGGAAAATTTTGATATTGTGATAGTTTCCAGTAAACTTTCGTCCTTCTTCACTCTGGAATCAGTACACCGTCAACTTAGAGAATTAAGTCTGATAAATCGTTTGCCCGGTTCGACCTTTATTCACCCGTTCATATATAACATTAGTTCGTTTATTAAATGTATCACACAGTGAGTGAAACAGTATTATTTACTGGATGAAAAAGTTTCGAACAAAATTTACTGTGGTTCATAATCTAATCAGTTGTAATCACACGACTTCGAAACTTGAGTTTTATAGTTTTCGCTGTTCTCTCCTATTTGTCGTTGTAGGGGTAGTAGATATTTCCAGATATCTCGGAGAGTTGTTGAATCATTCTTATTACACGTATTTGCAGTTGATTCGATAAACAAAGCTTGTGTTATCAATCTCTCCATCCACTTTGCTGTTACATCACATTTTAATACTGTCATCTTATCCCATCCTATTTCATGGTTGTGTGTAATTGCATGTAGTGAGTGCTATGTCTGAACTATTCTTTAGATTTCCTATGTTATTCGGGTCAACTAATCTAGATTTTTACAGGTTTTTATGCTAGGCTAGTCTGAGTGACTGACTGACTGACCCCGTTCTACTACTTCGCTCTGTGTATTTGACCTGACAGACATTCCGGCAGGGTATTAGATAAACTAAACTGTTTTGTTTTAGGAGCTTCACAGGATCCTTTAAACGACAAGGCTTGTTTCTAATTGAGTTCGTCAATGGTTTGAATGCCAGCCACTTTTATTCCTTCCTTGTTAAGAATTCTCCGGTGGAAGGTTTCCGAGGTTCCTTCTCTGTATAGAATTACTACAGATGATTTAGATTCCTTATTGTTGGTGTTGTCATCATACTGTGCATGACGTCACTAATGTTATTACTATTATTAGTATTATCACTATCACTACTGTCATTATTTTTTTTAATTTTCACATTTCCTACATGCTTTCTGATGAATTTAACAGGGTAATTATTAAGTATCAAAGCTTCTCTTATGCGTCTCATAGATTTTTTTTGATAATACTTAGTTTTTGAACTCTAATGTTATTTAAACATTTCACCAATCCTACTTTCACTGACATAAGATGGAGCATTGTCTCAACTACAGGAGGAGCGGACGAGGATGTCAAGTCGAGAATCGGGAAGGCGAGAAACACATTCATCCACCTGAAACCAATCTGGAAATCTTCGTCACTCAGCATCAACAACAAAATTCGGATTTTCAATACAAACGTCAAGTCAGTTCTTCTATACGGATGGATCAGAAACTTGGCGGGTCACAAAGAATATTTCCAACAGCCTGTTGCAGACCTTTATCAACAGCTGTCTTCATTCTATACTCAAAACCAGATGACCGGAAAGAATCACCAACAAGAAACTATTGGAACAAACGAAACAAGAACCAATCGCTCAACAAATATGCAGAAGAAAGTGGAGATGGATTGGACACTCGCTGAGGAGGCCGTTGGGTGACATCGCGCGTCAGGCCAATGCTCGAGTGGAACCGCAAAGGGAAGCGGGGAGTGAGACGTTCAATGGTGACATGGAGGAGATCGTGTGAAGAGGAGTTGAAAGAGTATGGACTAAGAGGGATGCAAGTGAAAAGTACGGCAGAGGACAGAATCAAGTGGAGACGTGTAGTTGAAGCCCTATGTTCCACTAGGAACTCAAGGGAACAGTAATTATAATGATAATAATAGGATGGGATGATCGGAAGTCTGTTTGAATGTGTGGATTTGCTGTAAACACTAGTGTTCAATTTCCCATCTTCCTTCCTTTCTACGCTACAGACTAACATTGGAAGCTCACCTTCCTGACTTGACAATTCATAAGTGAATTGAATTGCCTCCACTTTTGAGTTAATGTGTTCGAAAAATCTTTCCATATATCCTGTGTTCTAAGTACAGTGAATGTGTCATCTATTCATATAAGCTGAAAAATATTTCGAGGTGGAATAAAGTAGCTAAGTGATTTCATTTAGCTCAGTTTTCTGATGTCATACATTAGAAAAATAAAAAGAAAGATACAGGCAAATAAAACTCTATCGGTATAACCGGAACTACGATGTTGTGGACTACTAGCGAATGACTAACTTAATCTACTGGCTAATCTGTCCTAATCGCCCATCAACAACAATAACAGCAATAACACCACCAGCACGCAAAAACGAAATAAAAATATGGACGTCGATAAGAGAGCTTAAACTGTCTCAAACAACAGTCAGAATGCTAAACAGAAGCTCAGTATATATATACAGTTTGAATGACCTTGGAAATGCAGTAATCTAGTGATGCATTTAAAGTAGTAACAGCCAATAGGAATCCAGAAATCCAAACAAGAGGAAAAACAAGGGGCTCATGCCAGTATACGATAACTGCTTAAAATAGAATTAGCAAGGTTTCACAGAAAATTAAGCAATTAAACTGGTTGCATATGACATATATCAAAATAGAGAGAAAACATTAATTTAACTTACATAAATGGGAGTAAAAGTTATCCAATGCTTTATTGCTCTGAGTGCCTTTTTGTTTTACTTTCACATCCTCTGTGAAATGTAGCACAATAAAAAAGAGGAGGAGGCAGAAAATAGAAAATTAAACGCTACTGTAAACATTTCTTCATACATTTTCAACACGATACTTTTTCTGATAATTCACAGACGAACGTTTACAGTTGAGTACCCATCAACCACAAACGGAAGATGGTTATTTCTTTTGCAACAAGAATCTATAGACCTTGCAGCCCCAAATAAGAAGGAAAAGAGATCACTCATTTATGGAAGACACCACTTGAGATTAGCTATCCCGACCCACAAATCACAGAAAAACACATAAAGCCAAAAATCAACAACGAACAGTCAATCTCTATCCCGAAGAACATGCTATACATGAATGTGGCGTTCAAAGGAGACGTTCTGGTCGACATCCTATAGAGAAAACAACGACATTCTCTGATGCTACACTACGATCGGTATTCTCAAGCCATCCATTGTTCTTCATCAACTCATCAACTTATTTTCAACACTTATTATTTTCAGCCGGAGGCTTCTTTTCACTTTGTAGATGACTTTGAATTAATTCTCCTTGCATAATGAGTTACCAGTGTTGAATATATGTTCAATTATAGCAGTCTTTGTTGATCCAATGTTACCCATTTGTAGCCACGCGGGATAATGTTCTCTAACACTTTTGGATAAAACACGCATTGAACGACCCATATATATCGATCGCTCCACATGAGCGAGTAAACTGGTGGATACACACAGAGAAGTGGTCAGATGCGATAATTTGTCTTTGGAGTTGATGAAGAACAATGGACGGCTTGAGAATACCGATCGTAGTGTAGCATCAGAGAATGTCGTTGTTTTCTCTATAGGATGTCGACCAGAACGTCTCCTTTGAACGCCACATTCATGTATAGCATGTTCTTCGGGATAGAGATTGACTGTTCGTTGTTGATTTTTGGCTTTATGTGTTTTTCTGTGATTTGTGGGTCGGGATAGCTAATCTCAAGTGGTGTCTTCCATAAATGAGTGATCTCCTTTCCTTCTTATTTGGGGCTGCAGGGTCTATAGATTCTAGGCTCGATTATCTGAATAACACTGTGTAAAATAAAAGGTGATCGGTGGAAGGCATACAGGAGAACATGTTCAAAATAGGATCTGGTAAGCAACGCAGGCTTTCAATTTTCTGTTTTAATGTAGAGATTTAATAGTCATATCAAGAATTAAAAGTCAATCTGAATGAAGCATACTCTTTTCAAAAGTTGGTTTGTGAGGATTGGATTTATTTCTTACGAGTTTAACCATGGTTTTATGTCCGTAAGAGAACTATTGAAAAGCAGGTTCTTACAAATATATTATGACCAGTCACCACCATATTCTCCTTTTTGACAATATTTTGTAATTGATTTCAGCCTAGCACGTCTGTCACACTCAAATACGACTATTTATTTTGACACAACTAATCTGTTGCTCCACGTAAAAAACTTTATCCGCCGCCGCATAACTGGCTATCAATATTGTAACGACAGCGAGAATTATATTTTATAATTTTAAGAACCTGAAGGAAAGGATGTTGTGAAAAGAATATTCTTCTTTCAGACTGACTTCTAATTTAGAGATTTTAATAACCTCAGCCATTCATCATAGAAAGGAGAAATCCGAATGTTGAACACATTCATTCCAACTAGAAAACTGTTATATAGTTCAGAGAAAAGCTTTTCTAGTAAAGCTCAATTAAACATTTCATCCAACAGCTGTACGGCAATGCTGCATGCAAAGTAATCCACAACGAGAACCCAACGGAATCCTTCGAAGTGAGAACAGGAGTAAGACAAACTGGCTGCCTACTATCGCCAATGATTTTCCTGATTGCAGTAGATTGGATAATGCGACAAACAGCGGGCAATGAGGAAACAGGCATAAAATGGACTCACACAAAGAACTTGGAGGATCTGGACTTCGCCGATGATATATGTCTGATTTCTCACAAACTGGAATATATGCAAGCGGAAAGCAACAAGTTGGCAGAAGAAGCATCAAAGATAGGACCTCAGGTGAACATAGAGAAAATAGATGTGATGATCATTGGCCAACAAAAACAGAAGCAACAACAGACAACGATCAGCATAAATGGGATGAACCTGAAAGAAACAACTTCTTTTACCTACCTACCTGGGAAGCATCGTTTCAACTACACGCGGAACTGACGAAAAAATCAAAGTAAGAATCGGAAAAGCAAGACAAGCTTTCACTACTCTCAAGTCTGTGTGGAGGTCAACAGCACTCGGCGTGAAAAATAAGATCCGGATTTTCAACTCCAATGTGAAGTCAGTCAGTGCTACTATACGGATCAGAGACTTGGCGCGTCATAAAGAGCATCTCCAACAAACTACAGACCTTCATTAACAGTTGTCTTCTCTCAATACTCAAGATCAGATGGCCAGCCAGAAAACATCAGCAACAGAGAGGGATCTCTGGCAATGAGCGAACCAACGCAGCAGGAACCAACGGATTGTGAAACAAATAGGCAGGAAGAAATGGAGATGGATTGGCCATACTCTGAGGAAACCATCAAGTGACATCACTAGACAAGCCATTGCTCGAGTGGAACTCGAAAGGGAAGCGGCGAGTTGGTCGTCAGTGCAAGGGTGACTTGAGGGAGGTCATGTGAAGAGGAGATGAAAACGTGTGGGCAGACTTGGAGCCAGGTGAAGACTTAAGTATAGAATCGAACGCAATGGAGACGCACGGCTGAAGCCCTATGTTACTGTAGGAATTAAAGGAAACAATAATAATAAAAATAGAGCTCAACAATCGTGGTGACTGTTGAGACGGACAACAGATAATCGACTGGAGCACAAATGGGCTTCTGAAGTCCTGCATTCTCCTTGGAACGGTTTAATTTGATACCCTAGGCATATTTTTGTTCAGAAATGCCATGACTCGATGCTTCAACGTTTTCATTACTAGTAACGGTATGAAAATGAAAGAAAATGCTGTAGCATTTGAAATATTGATTTAGGCTTCACCTGCAAATGCCTTGCCAACGACTTTACCCTTTGAATTTAGAAGTCTGTTTAATAGTTCTGAAAGTAAAGAAAAAAATAAACAAAACATCAGGCAGAAAAAGTGATTTCAGTAGTCTTATCAGACCAAGATGATTTTTAGCGAAAAAGTTTGGTTAAGATAAATTCTTCCTCAGACTCTACACAGCTACAAATTTGTGAATCCATTATGATACATATAACCAGTTATTCGAGGCATGTGAAAATAATATCGAAAACTGAATTTTCGGCGTACATGTATAATATGAAGTGATAGTTCGTTATTTAATATTGTCAAATGAACGTATATTATAAAATATATACAGTCATCCAGAACATAAGTTAAAGTGTGAATAGAATTCAGATACAAAGCTATCACAAAGATGTCCAATGGACACAAGGGAAATAATTAAGAGCTTGTAATTCTGTCTAGAAAGTAATTATTTTACATTTAAAGGGAAATTATCTAGACAGACAAATGGTGTTGCTATGGCTTCACCAATCTCCTCAAACGTCGCTGACCTTTTCATGAATAGATTCGAAGATAACATCTTTTCAAGCATACTCACTCCTAAAATATGGTTATGATATGTAGATGATACTTTTGTAGTGCTAAAACGAGATCTACACAGTTCATTCTTTGGCAAACTTAACAACCTATCTCTCAGAATCCAGTTTACTTCGGAAGCAGAATCAGACGTCAGTGAACTACCACTTCTTGACTGCTTGCCTAGTTGAGAGGAGGGAAGACGGATATTTTAATATACCTATATTCAGGAAGAAAACCCACTCCAATAAATATTTAGACTTCGGATTATCAAACCCCACCATCGGAAAGGTATCAGTTGTTTCAAGTCTTCTAAGACGAGCGCACTTTTTGATGACGGATGACAAAGAAAAGGAAGAAGAAATATTACACATTACTGAGACTCTCAAACAAAACAACTACCCAGAGAACTACATCAACAAAATCAACACTGATATAAAGTATGATCAAAAACGTATTCCGGAAACATGGACCTCAACAGATGTCGCTCTCTATAGAGCGGAGACGTCAGATGATATTAGAAGAGTACTCAATAAGCACAACATCAACGTTTACTTCAAAACATCAGACACATTGTGAAGCAACTTTGTCCATATAAAAGACCAAATCTTCAAAGATTCTCTATCGAATTTTGTCTATAAAATAAGATGCTTGCTTGGAATGTGATGCTATATACATCGGACAAACATTGCCAGAGAGAAATCAAAATGAGAAGATATGAACACTGTATGGCCGACTATATTCAACTACCGAGAAATTCAGTTTAACTAGAAAGTTTGAAAAATCCTTATCCATAGATCTACACACTATAGAATCAGGTTGCAAACCTACGGTTTGTCACCTCTGAACTGTGCTCTTAAATAAAGCGTTTTCTTATTCACCGTGTCACGTTGAGTTTTATCGGTTCTCTTGGAAATATACTTCTTTACAAAATTGGTAGGAAAGCCATTTTCAGCAGGGTATTTTTAAGGTTTTCGATTTCATCTTCAACACAATCTTCAGTATGTAAGTGCCTAATTCAATTACCAAGACAAGGAATCAAGTTTCGTTTATACTGTACTGGTAGGAAACTGCGGAAATGGATATATTGTCCATTGCATCTCGCTTTTCTGTAGATGTTTTGCTTCAATGTGCTGTCTAGCCTTTGAGTAAGAAAAACATCCAGAAGAAAAATTCTTCCATGATATTCTTCTTCGTAAAAGAATTTAACTGCCGGGTTCACATTTTTAATGATCTGCATCAGATGTCACAAACGACGACGACTGTATCGTCTACATAACGGTAATAATATTCAAGTTTGTTTAACACCTCTCCGAGGACCATTTTATAATTTAGCTAGGAAAATTTCAACCAACAAAAGATCTATACAGGAACCACATCGATTTGAAGTTAGGATTCTTTGTTATTTAACAAGGAGTAAGGAATGAACGTGTCGGTGGCACAGCTGTAGAATGCTCACCGACTGGAGTTCGACATCCGGCTACTGACGCACTCCTTTACCTCGATAAGTCAGCAGTAAGACTGACAAAGAAGGAAGGTTGAGCATGAGGCTAGCAAACCCATCCTGTAAACATAATCACCATTGCTACATTCAACGATAACATGCTATTGTCCACTATGATCATATCTTTCATGTTGTCAACAAAAGCATACACATCTTTTGCATTTTATTTCACCAACTCCCTACGTAGTGGCTAAAGCAGACTTACTGGCTATTTAGCTGTTACATGAAATGGTGAATTTGACATATCACAGGAAGAGGGCGTGATTTTACTGAAATAACTTACAACTAACTTTTGAAAATTAATCTGATTCTCGATAATGACTGGCTGAAGAACGAAATTGCCTGTAGTTCTAGTGAGAAGTTGTGGCCTATGGAGTTCACCCAGTCAGTAGTGAGAGATGACCACCAAGTCAGGGAGGAGTGCCCAAATGTCCCGCTTTCGAAACCTGGCGACAGTGAGTGAGTATTGTCGATGAGTCTGAAACCAAGGTGATGAAACAGCTGCCTCCACAGTACTGCCTTGTGGTTTTCAATGTTTGGTCTCAGATCACATTTAATAAGTTCGCAAACTTTGCCTTTTTCCATGACCTTATATACTACTGAATGATTAAATTGAGTAGAGGTATACTACCCATGCATCAATCATTAGTTTCTGCTAGCCAGGTAGAAGTTATCTGAACTCCTTGTTCGTTTCAGGGTGGGGGGCTGGAGGGCGAAAGGCGACATCATCTGTGGTCTACTTAGTTTCGATTGCTAATTAATTTCAGAATATATTTCTTCTAAACTAAAATTCTGAGCATTATTTATGGATTAAAGAGTATCGTTTAATGTTCCATTCTTGCTTAATCCCTTCTGGATCGATCATTCCTTGACTCTATGGCATGCCGAAATAAATCCATAATTCTGGACTACCACTTTGTTCCACTTTAGACATAGCATATTCACATTATCACTGTATCACAAAGTTGATAGCAGAACTCCTGGAACCATAAAGAAGTCAAGTACCTATACTGTATATGATACTTTTGAATTTATGAATGGCGTTAATGATAATCAACGTTACTGGGAAAATTATGCAATCACTTGATATATACTCCGTGTTTATTAAGATGTCCATTGAATGAAACATTACATTATTTCAATTCATTTCTCGTTATTTCATTCGTAGTAGTTAGTATACCATATAAGCGAGGGGACATTCTAGACCCTACGTACGAATTGGAGTGGCATTTAAACCTATAAACTCACTCAGGAAGGACAAGCTCTATAGGTTTAAGGACCCAGTTGTCCCAATTAGACAAAATAGTATAACTTGCAAAATACCTTTCAGTGACACTTAACTAAGACTGCCTTCACAGTTAACGGATGACATGAATTAAAGTCTAAATACCTATTAGAATGTGCAGTTTACCTTCTTCTATTCGTTTTATTTTACAATCTAAAATCATAACTAATTCTTCTTGTTCACTTTCTGATTCCAATGTGAATTTTATTCTCTTTACTAGTGAGTTTACATGTCTGAAGAAGCTGGACATATGCTCTGTAGCAATAGTTCTATTGTAATTTCAACAATCATATTTTAAGTGATTTCAGTTCACAAGAGACTCCAAGCCTAATGAACAAGAGACTAAGCCTACCTTAGTTAAGTGTCTAACAAATCGAGTTGTAACACTAAGTAGTACAAGAAAAGACCAAAAAGATGAAATGAAACAGATAGGAGAAGAAGAAGCCTTGGTGGTAATATAACTAACTATCCAATAATATTCATTAGGAAGATTAGAGAAGGTCAAAAGCAAAATAAAAATAACACGGAAACTAATAATGATAACATAAATAAGAGAGAATATAAGGCGTCTACTGTTATACCATGTTAAGAGGGGACATCTGAAACACTACGTAGTAGGAGTCTTAATAAAGCAGGAATTGGAGCGGTATTTAAGCATACAGACTCACTCAGGAAGGAGAAGATCTGTAGGTTAAAGGACCCAGTTGACTCAACTGGACAAAATAATATAATTAACGGAATATCCTGTAAGGGCTGTGAATGTGGTCAACTACATAGGTCGAACTAGTAGCTAGGGGTAGTCAGATTGTCAGAACATAAGAATTTAGCTAAGGTAAGAATGGTTGACCCCGCGAAGATAAGTAATTTAGAAAGAATGTCGGTGGCACAGTGGTTAGAACTCTCGCCGACCATGCACATGGTCCGGGGTTCGATCCCCTGCCGACCCACACCCGATATCTATGGTCGGCCTGAAATTTGGGCTACCGATATCCATGCTGAAAATTCCATACTTGTACTGAAAATACGGTGTGGAATCAAGCTGTAATCAAAATAAAAAAACAAAATAAATAAAAATAAAGAAGCTCAGCAATCACACTGCATGCATTAACACACAACCAAACAATAGGGTTGGAGAGGATTAAATTTCTAAAATGTAATATAGGTAGGTGGAGGGACGGAGAGGTTGATTACTGAATCTTTGTTCATAGAATCTACACCCAACATGTGCATTAGGATGCAATGACTCGTCGCTCAGACGGGAAATATGGAAAATACTACTACCATTCAAGTCAATCGATGAAAAATAATGGGATTATATAAACGAAGTTAAGAAGTTTTGTGAGCACCTTGATATGATTGTGAGCAGTGTATAAATTGTGCTCGAAACGTGGTCATCAGTAAATATTACTGTGTAACAGTGTGAGACTTTATCAAAATAAATTTTACCCTTAGTGGAATTATACTCTACCACAGTACTCAAGTTTTATTTTGGTATCAGAGAGATGGGTTATTTATGAGTTCGCCATTTGGTACGTTGCTAGCGGACTTCTCTTTGGCTGTTATGGAGAGCAGTACTCTTGTACTTGCTATTAAAGGGGTTGGTTTTGACAAAAGAATATGTGGATGATACATCCATTTTATGCTATGAGAACTGTGATTTTGATGACATCTAGAAAGTATTCCGTGATAGTCATCTTGTTATCGACTTCACTTCAGAAATAGGAACTGATACAAAAATATGTTTGCTTGATATGCTGCTCACAAGGTGAGCTGGTTGTTCTTTGAAACGCTTCATTTACAGAAAATCGACATGGACGGAACAATTGACCAATCTTTAAAGTTTTGTCCCCATAGACAGAAAACGGAATCTAATCCATTCTCTCTCAACATGGATCCGAAGAATTTGTAGTGAGGACAGTGTTTATGATGGACTTATACAGCGGGAAGAAACCTTCATAGAGAAAGGGTATCCACCACACTTCACAGAAGCCAATAGAAAATCACCCGGGTAGCTAAAACACCATTGCACCTAAACTCACAATTTAGGGGTGACATTGAGTGAGAGTGACAAGATCTGACAAGATCATTCAGAAAAATCTTCTTTTCTGCTGCCTGTATGGTCATCTGCTCTTGATAAGCTAGGCACATAGGACTTTCGTCGAGAAACATATCCCGTCGCCACGTTCGAGAGCACCTCACAGTTTGACGGAGTAAAGGTGAGTGTAGAGGTACTAATTCGTCGATACTGTAACATTTTGTAGATACTGACCACGCAACATCTGAAACATAGTTCAATATAGTCTACAAAGTTCAATAAAGTGTGCCGGAAAGGTAATGAGCGCATTCGATTGTATAGAAGAGGTTTTAGCAATAAATAACATAAAGCCAGAACTTTTTGTACGAAAACAATTCGTACGATCTCTTCTATTGCCATAGTCTTGATTTTACTATGTAATCTACATAACAACTGTGTTATCTTCTATAGTTTGGTTTGTAAGGATTAGTTATGTTTTACGAGTTGATCACGGACTGATATCAGTTAGAGAATCATTGAAAACCAGGGAGTTCTGGACAGCTGCTGTTTCATCCTAGTTTGGGAATCATCGGCAGTACGCACGCACTGGGATTCGAACCCGAGACCTTCCGGTTACAAGGCAAGCTCGTATACCATTCAGCCACTGGGACCCGATTCAATGGCTCATGAATTCTAACTTCTACCAATTCGTGATTTTAGCGCGACTTGCTACAGGTTGGAGCTTCCTGCAGTTCTAGTGAGAAGTCGTGACCAGTGAGGTCCAATTAGAAGTCACGTGTGGATGGATTTCCACCAACGACAATAGTTGGGGTCGCGCTAAAATCACGAATTGGTAGAAGTTAGAATTCATGAGCCACTGAATCGGGTCCCAGTGGCTGAATGGTTTACGAGCTTGCCTTGTAACCGGAAGGTCCTGGGTTCGAATCCCAGTGGGTGCGTACTGCCGATGATTCCCAAACTAGGATGAAACAGCAGCTGTCCAGTACTCCCTGGTTTTCAATGATTCTCTAACTGATAACAGTCCGTGATCAACTATGTTATCGTTCTTTATTCCGAGTTCCAAATTTTCTTGGTTTGGTTTCATTTCACTTTATATTATCATATTCTAACTTTTTAACTAGTTTACTACTTTGATACATTTCATCATATTATGTTCACATATGCATTTTTCCGAATGTACTCTACCTTCTGACCATCTATTTTGCACATGCCCTTCACTGGACTTTAGGTTGACCTCTGTTAATTCATGCGACATCTTGGTGTATGTTTGACCAAATTTATTAGCTGATCTTCACAGGTCATCGGTGAACTTCAAAAATAGCGTCCCAGGAGTGGGAAAGCTCAAATGACCTTTAACGCATACTAATGGTTGGCTGAAGAAACCTACGATTAATCTAGCGTAAAAATGAGTGCTGTTCATTAGCTCAGGTGTAAATTTCACCCAGACCAAGTATTTCAATGCTGTCCGGATAATAAATTGATAGGACGTACTCGGATATGTAGTTACGGTGCTTCAATGAGGCTGCAACCATATTCACAGGTAATTGATGGATATATATTTAGATGAATAGAGTGTAGGAAACAAACGACTGTTCGTACTGGTAGGTGACACTCTCAGTTAATCGTCCCCCAGGAACTTTCTTTGCAAAATTGAAATTTTCTTTGACGAATATACTGTTTCTTTGCCATTACTGGATTTTGAAGTCTGGAGTGAGGTCAACTACCACTCGGACAGAAAATACGTTGACGTCTACTGTGCAGTGGTTTCAGTTTTGTCAAGATTGAGCATCATGTAAAATGAACAATATTACACAAGTGCTGGGAGGAGTCGGTGTTATCGTTCACATCGACAAAACAGTGCTTATAAAGAAGAAATACAATTGCGAACGTGCTAGAGCTAACAACGTTCGGATGTTGGGAATTCATGACACCCAAATTCAGAAAGAATTCCTTGAATTTATTCCAGACATTAGTGTTGATACTCTTCTGCCTATTATTGAAAGACTTGTTTTGCCTAGCAGTACTATACACACGGATGAATAGGCAGGATATAACCGACACTCCCTATTATAATTAGGACATATTTTTATCTGATATCAGGGAAAAATGCCGTGTTCAACGTTTTTTCATGCTTTGTTATGTAAATATGTGTAACATTTTGTGCAGAAATTCCTCAAATTTTCTCATTGGTCGGTTCTAGGTCACTCGTGCGTTTTCATCCCTTGGGACACTATTGTACAACTTTGCCAGGTCATCTAGTGGGCCATCGCGATTCAAATTATCATCCTATTATTCAATCATCACTCAGTCTTTCACCTTCTGAATGGGATGAAAGGCATCAAGCTAGCGCTCTGTAGTTTCACTTGTAGGTTAGGTGTTTTTGTTTTTACAAGATGAGGTTGCTGACCCACACGTACACACACACACACGCACACGTTATTTCAGTTTTTACGTATTTACTAAGACTGGTTAGTCGATGACGTTTAGGTGTGCGTCAGTAGTCGGTCGGCAACTGAATCCCCAGAGAAAACACTTAGTAAGATATCAAAAAATAAGGCAAATTGAGGTAAAAATCAAATCAAGAGAATAATAAGAAATTTACCAACCTTCATTTTCTTTTAATTGCCGTTTGGTATCTTCTTTCTCTTGTAGCAACGTCTGCCTAGCTCTTCCATCTGGTAAATAGCAGATAATGAATGTGTAAGTATTTGTTATATACACCTAGTAGTTTAATTACTTAATTTTACCTTAAACCATAAAATATCTATTTTAAGCGGTTATCGTGTACTCGCATGAGCGTTTTGTTTTTCCCTCTGTCCGGACTGCTGTATTCTTATTGGCTGCATTTTCAAGGTCATTTTATTTTATTATGTATATACAAAGTAAATTCACTTTTGACAATTTGAAAAAATGTGGGTATTGGGTGGTATATGATATTCATTATTATTAAAGGTTTTTGTATTTCTTAATGAATGAATGAATGAAAACAAAAAGATATTTCTATTTTTTCGGATGTTTCGCTAATTAATATTGCTAATAGCTCTAGCAAGGTAGTATCAAACCAGAATTTAAAAAATCTCCTCAGCTTAGATATTACAACTTAAGCATCGTTCCTGAGCATAGGGTCATTTGTACGTTGTCAAAGTGATCAACTGGTAAAGATAACAAAATCAGGCGTTGGAACCTTAATGGATTTGATAAGTGTGTAAAATTGTAAAAGTAGCGTGTGTTTACACAATGAAACTGCTTATCACATTCGTGTTGATTTTTTTCATTTCATGGGGCCGTAGGCGGTGTTGCACCCAGGTCAAATTCTGTTTCAGTCCATCATTCCAATTCAGACAATTCGGATTCCAATTGATATGAATTGCTTCTGATAGTATTAGACTGGATTTCTCGGTGGTTGAACATAGTCGGCTATACAGTGTTCATGTCTTCTCATTTTGATTTCTCTCTGGCGATGTTTGTCCCATATACATCGCATCACATTCTAAGCAAGCATTTTATTTTATAGACACAATTAAATAGAGAATCTTTAGGGATTTGGTCTTTTATAAGGAGAAGTTTGCTTCGGTGTGTGTATGATGTTTTGAAGAAAACGCTGATATTGTGCTTATTGAATACTCTACTGAAATAATCCAAAAAAATTTCAGAAATCACAAAGAACGTCTCATATCATTAGAAGCACTTCGTATCAAATGGAATCCGATTTATTTGAATAGGAATGATGGTCTAAAAAAGAATTTGACCTCGTTACAACACCCACACCACCTGTCATGAAATGACAAAATCAACACAAATGTGATAAGCAATTTCATTATGTAAACAAACGCTACTTTTACAATTTTATACACTTATCAAATCCAACAATCTACACCTGGTTTTGTTATCCTTACGCAAGTAGCCAGTTCGACAATGCAAAAATGACCAAATACTGATGAACGACACATAATTTTGTTATAAATAAGCTGAGATTTTGTAAATTTTGGTTTAATATTTCTACTCTGATAAAGCTATCAGCAGCAGCATTAAGTAGCGAAACATCAGTAAAAGCAGCAATATCATTTTGTTTTTGATTCATTTGCTGGGAAATACAAAAAACCCTTATTATAATAAACATTCTAATTGTATGTATATGCAGAGCTTCTGTCTAGCGTTTTGAGTGTTTTTGCGACAATTAGAGCTCGCCTAACGACTTCCAGTCTTTTATTTCGTCTGTTCATCCCGGTGGTGTTGTTTTTATTGTTGTTTTTATTGGCGGGCGATTAGGACGAATTACCCAGCGGATTAAGTTAGTGTTCGCTCATAATACTATTTATTTTGTCAGAAAAAGACTATGTTTAACAGATTTATTCAAGGAGAGATTAGTTTTTCAAACCTTACCTCTTTCTGTTCTGATTTTGTTTTCGATTTCTACCAAATCCCCTGTAATGTTAAGTGTGTATAAGTAAATGTGTAAAACTTGGGCACTGTGGTAGTAATTAATTCCATATTAGTTTCTTTATTAGATGTTTCACACAGCGAGTGAAACAGTATTATTTACTGGATGAAAAAGTTTCGAACAAAATTTACTGTGGTTCATAATCTTATCAGTTGTAATCACACGACTTCGAAACTTGAGTTTTATAGTTTTCTCTGTTCTCTCCTATTTCTCGTTGTAGGGGTAGTAGAATTTTCCAGATATCTCGGAGAAGTGTTGAATCATTCTTATTACACGTATTTGCAGTTGATTCGATAAACAAAGCTTGTGTTATCAATCTCTCCATCCACTTTGCTGTTACATGACACTTTAATACTGTCATCTTATCCCATCCTATTTCATGGTTGTGTGTAATTGCATGTAGTGAGTGCTATGTCTGAACTATTCTTTAGATTTCCTATGTTATTCGTGTCAACTAATCTAGATTTTTACAGGTTTTTATGCTAGGCTAGTCTGAGTGACTGTCTGACTGACTGACCTGTTCTACTACTTCGCTCTGTGTATTTGACCTGACAGACATTCCGGCGGGGTATTAGATAAACCAAATTGTATTGTTTAACAGGCTCCACACGAACAATCCTTTATCCGAGAAAACGTATTTCCAAATCAGTTTGTGGTTTTGAATGCCAGTATCTCTAATTCCTTCCTTGTTAAGAATTCTCCGGTGCAAGGTCTCCGAGGTTCCTTCCTTGTATGGAATCACTTCAGATGATTTAGATTCCTTATTGTTGGTGTTGTCTTGTGCACATTTGACTTTCATGTCGTCATTAATATTATTATTATCATCACTATCATTACCATCATTATTTATTTTTTTTACATTTCCCTACATACTTTGTGACTAATTCATCAGGGTAATCAATACGTTTCAAGGCTTCTCTTATATGTATCACTTCCTGTCTTAGATTTTCCTTGTTACTACTTAGTTTTTGTGCTCTGTCACTTAAACATTTCACCGATCCTATTTTTACTGAGATGGGATGATCGGAAGTTCAAATATCTGTATGAATGTATGGGCTTCCTGTAAACACTAGTGTTTGACTTCCCATCTTCGTTTCTTTTTATACTGCAATCTAACATTGGCAGTTCCCCCTCCTGACTTTGCAATTCATAAGTGAATTGAATTGCCTCAACCTTTGAGTTAGTGTGTTCAAAACATCTTTCTGTATATCGTGTGTTTTAAGTACAGTGAATGTGTCATCTACATACCTCCACCATACTTTTGGGGTGGGGGTGAACGTTTCAATTGCTATACTAAGTGTATAAGTGAATAGATATTACATATTATAAACTAAGCGTTGCGTTTGACTGCTATTCTGTTAGGTTGTATTCAAATACGCAAGATTATGAGTAAACTGTTTCAATGCAATATCTTGATTTCTGTAAATTTTCTCAAATTACATTTAGATGTCTTGACTACTTCCCATAGGCTTTTATTTTCCTGTTATATGATTTTTTTCCCATACCATTTTAAGACGTTATTCAAGTTCTAGTAGAGGACCTGGAGGGTAAAATCACTTCAAAGTCTCCTCAGTGTCATCCATTCTGTTCACGTTCAGAAGAGAAAAAGGTTGTATTTGATTTTATGTGCTATAAAGCTTTTGCGGACATGGGATTGTTTCTTTTTACAGGGTGATGTCACTATTCTTATATTCAATCTTCTCTCTCTTTCTAAGGGTAGAAGCCAACTGGTTCACAGACAGCAATGTTTTCGAGTTTGTTTTGATATTTAAAGTGAGTCATCCGTGATAAGAAGACTCCAGAAGATGATGATTTAATTATACTGTCACATAAACTCGAAGATCAACAAGCGAAAACCAACAAGTTGGCGGAGTGAGCAGACACAGATGACAGGACCCCCAGGTGAATACAAAGAAGACCCTTGGGCGGTGAAGATTACCAGCCACCACCGAAAACAACAATGCCAATCACTGGCAACAATCGCTTTAAACGAGAGAAATTCAAAAGAGGTCACTTCCTGAACCAATTGAGGAACTGTTGTTTAAAGTTCAGAATCGGAAAGCCGAGACACACAGCTTCATCATTCTAAGATCAGTTTGGAAATTTTCCCCACTCCACATCACGAAGAAGTCAGTCAGTGAGTCAGTGAGTCAGTCAGTGGTTCTATTTAGTTGAGAGACTTGCACTGTGTTTGTGCGTCACGAAGAGCACTTGCAATAATCTATTATAAAGATTGATTTGCTGGCTAGCCAGACTGAATCCGTAATGAGGAATTGTTATTAGTGCAAATCGACCATTCTTGGACCTATTGCTCGACAAATATGTAGAGAGGAGAGTGGGTTTATATATAGGCCACAGGTTATTGAGGAGACCATGGAATTACAACATTACGCATCAGGCGATTGGCAGATTGGCACCGACTGTGGAACAAGGAGTGAGTCGTCCACGAGTGACAAGGCGAAATTCAATGACTAGTGGCAAATTTGTGGCTGGATGTGGAGTAGTTGGTGAAATGGAAATATAACCAGTACGTTTAAGGCATTTAATTTTTTTATCAAAAAACATCCCAGTAAATTATTCATTCATGCAACGTCTTACATTGATAATCTTCAATAATTTCAACATAATCAAGGATTTCATCTTCAGAGGATATAACTGTAAGAAATTGTAAAAAAACCGTCATGAAATCACATTTTTAGACCTGTAGACTCTTTAGGCTTGTCTTATTGTCAAGCATAAGTCACATCCTGTCATTAAGTGAGAGCATATGGAAATTATTATTATTATAGTTTACTGTGTCCTCTCCTTTTTGTCCCTGGGGTAGTAGAATTTTCCAGTGTCTGGAAGGACAGGTGTTGACTCATTCCTAATACATGTATTTACAGTTGATTCGATAAACAAAGCTTCTGTTGTCAATCTCTCCCTCCACCCTGCTGGTACATTATATTTTATAACTTTCATCCTATCCCATCCTATTGTATGGTTATGTGAAACTGTGTGTAGTGCTATAGCTGAACTATTCTCTAGATGCACTCTTAGACTTCCATAAGCCGGTATTAAGAGTGGCAAATAGGGAGGTTAGCAATCTAACCCAGGAAAAATAGAAAAATGTCTAGAAAACCCTAATGCTACTGGAAATTCTAAGCTTACAATTGAAGCCGTATCTTCCGTTCGGAACGTAAACCACATAATAACCGTAATAGTATTTATAATAATAGGTAACATCGGAATAATATATATGACACACACATTTATTATGATCATACCTGCTGCTGTAGGTTTTACTTTATTCCAGGCCGCATCTGTGAGTAGAATTCAAAATGAATGTTATTTTTTTTAAAAACATTAAGTGAATATAGTAACTCTTCTGTGTACAAAATGCTACACGCCTCAAATCAATTGATGTGAGATTCGGTTAATTGTGCTTCAGTAGTCGAATGGTACAATCTCTACTAACATACTCGTGCAACGGATTTGATACCTAGCTAACACACTTGAAAACTCCTCACTTAGTCGATAATAGGTCAAGTAAATAAGATAAGTTAGGCGTGTAGTTGATAACCTCACCAAATAGAAACCAGCGGCACCACGACTACTGAAACATTTCTGTGTTTCACTTGGAAAGCAGTAGTATCTCGGATGCATATTCCCTCCAGTTTTGAAGCTCATTAGCTGAATTTACCTGTATCTCTAGTGATGGTGCTCTCCCTGGGACTCGACTTCTGAAAACGCCGAAAGCACTAACTCCATACTAAACCACTTGGCCAATAGAGTCACATCAGACCAATAGGCATCAGATTTTCCTTGTACTTCCAAATGACTACTTATATATATTGACCCACATACTCCACCGTCTTTATTGCCATATCCGCTCCTACTAAAGATGACTGGAATTTACCGGTTAATCAACTGGAATTACAGAATAACTTCACCAGATAACTGGTATTCAATCGAAAAAAGGTAATGCTTCGGTGGTTCAGCAGTACAACTCCCTTCGACCCAGCCTCCCTTAGTCCGAGTATCGATTCTCAGTCAATGTACTCCAAAAACTTGCCAAGCCGGTAGTAAGGATGGTAAAAGAGAATTTTGAAAATATAATTCACTGCTACCGGAACTTCAAAGCTCTCAATTGAAGACCTATGTTCCACAGAGAACGTAAAGGAGTAAAATAAATGAAAGAAAGTAAATAATAACCCTAGTCTGGGAATTATCGGCAGTACACACATCCAACCCCAGGGTTCGAACCCAGGACCTTCCATTTACAAGGCAAGCTGGTAGACTATTCAGCCACCGGGACCCGACTCCTCAATTCTAACTTCCACCAATTCGTGATTTAGCGCGACCCCAACCAATGTCGTCGGTGAGACATCCATCCTCACACTTGACTGGTTAGACCTCACTGGTTAGGACTTCACACTAGAACTCAAAGAAACTCTGCTCTGTGGCAAGTCGCTAGAGAAACTCACATACGTTAAAGTAATTTTAGTCGAGGATTAAAACAAAGGATTGTTTATTCAAATATTTGGAATGGATTACAAGCTGAGTTACTAGGATAAGGAAAGAGTGATCAGTGAACACATAATATCAGGTTTAATATTTGATAGCGATCATCGCTTCAGTAAATTTGAAGAGACTTAAGTTTAACTGTCCATTAATAATGTTAAAGCATTTGATAGTGTCTACCTCATGATATATATCAACAAAGCACTTGTTCAAAGCACTTGTTCCCTTGAGACGTAAATTGTTTGGTACATGTTCAGAGAATCTGAGATATACACATTTTTTCTGTTCTCCCTCCCTATTAATATATGTAAAATATATATATATATAAAATATTTTATTAGAAAAAAAAACACTTACTGTTGGCATTCCCCGAGTTTAGACTTTCGTGAACTGCTAACTCTAGTAGGTTGTTTGTTTCAGCTTGACAAAAGAATATAGAAATAAAAATCAAAATATTTATTGAAATTGAATACAATTCAAGTGCCAACACTGGCATAAGAATGGAAGTTGGACACTATGTTGATAGAGTATCATTCTGTTAGGAAGAAAATTTATTTCGATAAAGTCTGACCGTTTTATATATATTGGAATATTTGCAATTTATCACTGCTCATCTTCAAATCAGGTTAGTGAAAGTAATGAGCATCTATACTAGTAGTTTTTTTTACCATATAAGACAGGGACATCTGAGACCCTACGTAGTAGGATTCTTAAGAAAGCAGGAGTTTCAGTGGCATTTAAACCAACAAATCCACTGAGGTCGGACAAGCTTTGCAGGCTGAATGACACCCCTGACTCAATTAGACAAAGTAATTTAAATTTACAAAACACCTTGCAATGACTATAGCTTAAGTCAACAACTACATAGGTGAGTCAGAATAGCAGATTGGGGGTAGTCAGATTGTCAGAACATAAGAATTCAGCTAAGGTTAGACTGACTAACTTCGAGAAGATAAGTAATCTAGAAAAATACTCAGCAATATCATACTTTTCAGAGGTACTAGTTTCATTAACTAATAGCGTGTCATATAATTTCATAATATATACACTGAATATATAAGGCTTACCTTTCTGTTTGTAATATTCCTGTTCTAGTTTTCTGAATTCTGATCGTATATCATTCACATTTTCTACATGAACGAATAAAAGTGAAAGTGGTTTCAATATTATTTTGAAAAAAAACAAGCTGAAAAGAATTGCTTCATAAACGAATCTATCTATCTTTGCATGAATTGATTTTACGAGTTTGACCACGAATTGATATCAGTAAGAGAACCATTGAAAGCAGCACTGGAGTACTGGACAGCCAGCTGTTTCATCCTGGTTTGGGAATCATCAGCAGTACGCACGCACTGTCAGGGTTTGAACCCAGAATACCAATCATTGGTCAAACTCGTGAAAAGAAATCTAATCCTTACAGACCAAACTCTTGAAATTTAGTCTGATGCTCGTTAGTGACTAGTTACAAGACGTAGTTTCCTGGACTTCTAGTGCGAAGTCGTGACCAATGACGTCCATTCAGTCAAGTGTGAGGATGGATGTTCCACGGATGGCATAGGTTAGTGGTCACGCTTAATGCTCCATGAATTGGTAGAAGTTAGAATTCATGGAATGGCCATTGGGGAGTCGAGTCCCAGTGGGCTTGCCTTGTCACCGGAAGGTCCTGTGTTCAAAACCCAGTAGATGCGTATTACTGATGATTCCCAAACTAGGATGAAACAACTGGCCAGTACTCCCTCGTGGTTTTCATTGGTTCTCTAATCGAGATCAATCCTTGGTCAAACTCTTAAGAAGAAGAAATCTAATCCTTACAAACCAAACTCTTGAAAATTCACATGAATTATCAATCATGGTAACAAAAATGACAAAATGAGTACATAATCGAAGTTTGAGCACGGAGAGATATAAGTTAGCCAACCACTGGAATTCAGAGAGTATTGGGCTGCTGATTCATTCCACTAGTTAAGAACTCATTGCCAGTATGCATTCCCTGGGGATTGAACCAAGGACTTTCCAACTTAATGGTCAACCCATCTCCATTTCCTTCTACATATCTATCACGTTATAGTTTCTTGGGTGTTTCGTTTCTAGACCTACTTGTTTTCTTTCGTTCTTGCTCGCTGTCTCCTCTTTATTATGGAGCTAACGAAGGCAGATGTTGATTGAAGTCTGATACCCGCCTGAAATGCTTTTCGTGGCGGACGCCAAATCTCTGAATCACCTAAAAGCATCGACTGACTTGACACTGGTGTTTAAAATCTCAATCAGATTCTTTTTGCCGATTGCGGTAGAATTCCTCACTGATTTTGGAGTATTGATTGTTTGGTTTGCCTCTTCTATGCCGTCTGCAATTGAAACAATTCTACCCAGATAAATGGACGAATCGATTTCTTCCGAATTTTTCCCATCGACAGTGATTGGTGCTTTTTGTTTTTGCTTAGTTAGTTAGCTATATTCATCACTTCTGTCTTCTCTATGTTCAACAGTACCATCCATCGAATCCAGAAGGATATTCAGGTTACCCAAGAGTGAACTAAATGAATATTTAGCCACTGGTGATTTATCCAATGTCTTATGAATGCTGATGAGGAGTCCTTAACTGAGACAGAATGGCTGCATTGTGTTTATTGATTCTAAAATTAACATTTCTTCGTATTGCAACCTAGAAATAATGAAATGTCTGTAAACCGACACTTAAAACTTAATTTTCCATAAATTTATAACAGAATCTACTAATTTACGAAAAGTGTATTTGCCTTACTTTGATTTCCATTGGACACTAACTAGTGTTAAATGCTAGTAGTGAGTATCCAGTCCAAAGTATTTAACACAATCCTTTCAGGAGGTCAATCACAAACCTTGAATAGCTTACTGGTGACATCTCTAACTGAAGAATTCACTGAGTGACAATGGGCTCGAATCACAGACGAAGGAAATGAATTCCACCTTGCAGACTGATGAGTGTTAATAGGTGCGAAACCTGAATCTAGCAAGGCTTCCTTTGGCCATTGACCGCGAAGTAATTTGGAACCAACTCGAGTACTACGGCGTACCCCAAATATTCATCAACCTTATACAACAGCTGTACGACAACGGCACATGTCAAGTGATCCACAACGGAAAACTCAGCGAGGCGTTTGGAGTAAACACAGGAGTCAGACAAGGCTGCTTAATATCACCAATGATATTCCTAATTGTGGAGGACTAGATTATGCGTCAGACAGTAGGAAATTAGAAGACAGGGATATCCTGGACCGACGTGAAGAACCTAGAAGACCTGGATTTCGCGGGTGATTTATGTTTGATGTACACAATCGAAACTTACAAGTGGAAACCGACAAAATGGTCGAAGAAGCAGCAAAGACGGGACTCCAGATGAACATAGACAAGACGGAGGTTATGAAAGTAACCAACCAACAACAACAACAGCAGCAGCAGGAACATCCAGTGCCAATCACCATCAACGGGAGGGATTTGAAAGAGGTTACTTCTTTCACTTATCTGGGAGCATTGTCTCAACTACAGGAGAAACGGACGAGGATATCAAATCGAGAATCGTGAAGGCGAGAAACACATTCATCAACCTGAAAGCAATCTGGAAATCTTCGTCACTCAGCATCAACAATAAAATTCGAATTTTCAATACAAACGTCAAGTCAGTCAGTTCTTCTATATGGATCAGAAACTTGGCGGGTCACAAAGAATATTTCTAACAGCCTGTTGCAGACCTTTATCAACAACTGTCTTCGTTCCATACTGAAGATCAGATGGCCGGAAAGAATCACCAACACGAAACTATGGGAACGAACAAAACAAGAACCAATCGCTCAACAAATATGCAGGAGAAAGTGGAGATGGATTGGACACTCGCTGAGGAGGCCGCTGGGTGACATCACGCGTCATGCCAACGCTCGAGTGGAACCGGAAAGGGAAGCGGCGAGTGGGACGTCAGTACAAGGGTGACATGGAGGAGATCGTGTGAAGAGGAGTTGAAACAGTATGGACTAACATGGATGCGAGTGAAAAGTACGGCAGAAGACAGAAGCAAATGGAGATGTGTGGTTGAAGCCCTGTGTTCCACTAGGAACCCAAGGGAACAATAATAATAATAATTACATGAATACTCACCTGGTTGACTGTTTGTCTGACGGTTTGTCGTTAAATGTTTGTCTGAGGATGAAAAAGTTAATAACAATAATAGTAAACGTATTATTGTATTTCTGGTTGATCGTTGTGAAGGTTTCTTACCAAGTGAGAATGAAACATATTTGCAAGATTAAAAAGAGCTCGTATTTCTTTTTCGCCTTCATGAAGTTCTGAATCAGTCGTTAACTGCCACCAGAATATGACATAAGTTGTTATAAATGAAAAAAATGTACCCTACTGTTCTCTTGGTTTCGAGTGGAACATACGCTTTCAACACAATACATCTCCACTAAGCGCCATTCTTTGAAGTCTTTTTCAGCTGACTACTCGTCCGCCCATAGGCTGTCATGTCGTCCTCATATAATCGCCTTCTTTCATTTCACTTTAACATACATTTTGAGCGTAAAGCTCAGAGCCATTGTTCGATATATATATATATATATATATAATGAGCATAAAGCCCATAACCATCTTTCGGGATTTGCCGCCAACCCATAATTTCTAGGAGGCGCTAATCACCGTGGCTGAGGCCAGGTCCTCTCAAAATCCATCCTCTCTACCATAACGCTCCAATCCCGGTGAAGGCGTATATTTCACCTTCTCGAGCAACTAGGGCCTTTCAGTGACTAGCAGCGTCGTGGGCCATTCATAAGACCCTACTTCACGACTTTTATTTATATTTCAAGGGCTGCGGTTTATTTCGGCGAACGACAAGCCATAATTCCACCAGTATTCATGACACCAGTCGTAGCTATATGCCAATGACACTATCCTAGCAGAACCACAACCCGCCGCCACAAGTGTTATTTACTTCGAATATTCCAACGCACAGATGGTTCATGAGAAGAATTTGTCATAGCTACCTTCTCCGTTACCTGCAATTGATTGAATTTCTTCACTTTGACATTCAGAGTGCTGGGCAGAAATCACATTGCGTCATAACCGGTCAGCGGACACCGCAATGCTTTGTTTTAATTAGACAGTCGGATTCCCCTGGTGCGTGCGACTTCTTAGTTAGCCGTCGCGCGCCAAACAATGGAAGCACAGCCGCTTGACGCAATGCAGAGCAAGTCCACGCCCGTTGCTAGCCGCACAACACTAACAGCTGAAACCGCCCACAATCGATCGCGGTCAGAGTCCAGTAACTCCACAACAATGCACACCGAAGCACACAAAGCAGCAAAGAAACCAGCCTTCAACTGGACCGACACGTATCTGATCTTGGCCTGTCTGACTCGGCCCACAGAGCCAATCCTTCTCCCAAGGTTACGGATCCAATTTGCCGACTTCCCTTACCCACCCTTATAGATAATCATCAAATTGAACGTTCCATATTCAAATTCCACTTAAGTAATGGCTTGGTGATTGATGTCATCCAAGAGTCTGCTAAGTGGCGTGTGTCCGATCCATCTCCAATTTTCTTCGGGATATGTGTCGTGCAATCAGTTTGTTGATTGGTTCCTTCCAAGGGCTTTGTACACTGAAGGGCTTGAATTCATCTTATCATTTGAGTCGTATATTCTCACTAAAGAACTGGCTTAAACAAGGACAAACAGGAAATGCTTTATCCTCAAACACCTTGTCAATCCTGGACATTAAGCTCGACCCTCATGAATGCTTCACAGTGCTACATACAGAGTTCCTCAGTATCGTACATAGCTAAATCATTAGCTATTAAAGATGGGAAACTGCACCTCAGCGTTTAAAAGCACTACATACATTCACTTGCGCTACCGTGGCCAGAGTAACTTGACTTACTTGCAAATTTCTGATGATATTAGATGGCTGAAGGCAATCGGCCCAATAGGAAGCCTCCAACCATCTAATATCATCATATCAATGTACACCGTGATGGATGGTGAGCTACATATAATGGTGCCCACATTGCATAACTGACTTAAAGAATTCAGTTTGCATCAGCGAAAGGACTAGACAAATCACACTGGTCAGTTACTAATGTCCAATCAAAGTTCCTAAAGTTCCACTGAGAGTTCATAATCGACTAGGTAAGCTGAATCAGGTAAGAAAACAGTTTGTGACAGTGGTTGGCGGTGGCACTCTGTAAATGTGGTGAACTGGAAGAAGAAGTTGGAATTCTTGATTCATCGAATTAGTTCCCACTGGTTGAATGGTCTGAAGATTCGCCCTCAACACAGGGATGAAACAGCTCTCCATTACTCACTTCTGGTTTCCCAGTAATAACAACTTGGGATTAAGCTTGTATTTAAGTTATATTTTTAATGACTAACTACCATACTGTGGTTTTATTGACGTCACTCAGATGAGTGACTGATTGTGTAATTTTGTATAGAATAAATACTTGTGAATGCAAATCTTAAGCACTCAGTCAATCCTTTTACAAATATCAGTGAAACCTGTTTCGTAAGAATTCTTTGATGGAATTAAATTCTGAGGACTGCTAATTATTTCTACTTTGATATGTTCATGGAACTTACAGAAGTAGGGGAATCTGTAAAGGTACTAGGTAACGAAAAACTGGGGTATACGAAGACAGACCTGAGATCCAATATCAAAGATACTTAACTGATATACTAATCCATGACTTTTTCAGTGATGCTGATGTATAATGAAAACTGGCGTGAACTAAAAAAAAGCAAAACGCTTATCTTCGAAAACTAACCGACTTCAGTGTCAAGGTCCAATCTGCTGGTCCACTTATTGAGTATTTCCTTATTGATGTTGAGATTTTCTGAAAAGGTATTCAAAAATAAATTCATACATGTATATATATATTGTCTCCATCCCTGTGCGTTCAGACTTGAACATACGCCCTCATACTGGAGTTTTGAAGCTATAATAGCGGAAGTGTTTTGCTTTGTAGGATGAGGTTTCTAGCTTCCCCGGCAAAATTCCTACCTGTCTAAGTTTAATATTGGTTAGGCAAGGTGAAGAAGCAAGTCGACCAATAAGTGTGCGAGGAATGCAGGCGCAATTGGTGTTCGTTTCAACGCTGAATCCCTGAAGAATATATATTTATATCGTTAGCACAAACTAATCTTCGAATCTTCAAGTGTTGGTTTGTAGGGATTTGATTGGTTACCAGATTTCATTATGAGCTGACATTGGTTAGAGAACCATTGGAAAACCTTGCAGTATTGGACACCTCTTTCGTCCTGGTTTGAGACTCTTCACAGTACGCACTCACTGGGGTTCGAACCCATGACCTTCTGATTACACGGTGAGCTCGTAGACTTTCAAGCCACCGGGACCCATTCGAATGGCCCATGAATTCTAACTTCTGACAGTTATGAGGACAAATACTCGCTGGAGACATTGGCTAGTGGTCGCGCTATGTCGTGAATTGGCAGAAGTTAGAATTCATGGGCCACTGGATCGGGTCCCAGTGGCTTGAAAGACTACGAGCTACGAGGTAGCTCGCCTTGTAACCACAAACCACAGCGGTGCATACTGATGAAGAGTCCCAAACCAGGATGAAACAGCTGTCCACTACTCTCAGGTTTTCCAATGGTTCGGTAACCAGTGTCAGCTGATGATGAAATGCGGTAATCTTTGAATCATATTCACTGTCTAATGGAAACCTTTTCGAGAGAAATTCAACAGCACATCTTGACTTTTCCTAATTTTCTGCATTCCTCTTTATCTGGTCAAACGTTTGCCCATAATCTGTTTTCCTCTCCACCTATGATCTCCTCCATGGTATTTTCAGACCCACACCAAACTCGTTGTTTCCATTCCGGTTCCACTAGACAGTTGGCCTGATGTGCGATGTCATTTGGCAGTCTTCTCAGTAGCATGTGTTCAACACACCTCCATTTTCATCTGCATATTGACTGAAAGATAGGTTCCAGACTGGTCTGTTTGTACACATAATTCCTCATTGCTGATACTTTACAATCACCTGACCATTCAGTCTTCAATGCTGAGCGTAGGTGGCACCAGCTGAAAAGAGTCTGCAGTAGCTGATTCGAAATGCTTTTTGTGACGCTCACGCATTATAAGTTTCCAAACTAAATAGAAGCACTGGCTGATTGACTTCTTGATGATGTGAAGTGGGGAAGATTTCCGAACAGATTTCAGAACGATAAAGTTCGGTCTCGTCGTTCCGATTCTGGCTTCGACATCTTCATCCGTGCTGTCGTCTGCAGTTGACAGGATGCCATCTAGGTATGTTGAGTGACTGACCTCTTTCAAATTTCTTCCGTTGATGGTGATTGGTTCAGGCTGTTGTTGCTTTTGATTGGTTGATTATCTTCATCACATTCTTCTTCCTCTTTTCTATCTTCACTTGAAGTCTTTGCTGGTTCTTCTGCAAACTTGTTGGTTTTTGTCTGGAAGTCTTTGAGTTTGTGTGACACTAGACACAATCTTCAAGTATTGTTTTCATAGGGACTTTGTGTGATTGGATGGAGGATTTCATCATAAGCTGACATCAGTTAGAGAACCACTGGAAAGACCTGGGAGTAATGGACAGCTGTTTCATCCTGGTTTGGAGTTCTAGTGGGAAGCCGTGACCAGTAGGGTACAGAAGGTTGAAGATGAAGCGGTAACTCATCGAAAAAGACATTGGGAAATGGTTGTGCTATGCGGTGAATTGGTAGAATTCATGGGTTGGCCATTGGATCGGGTCCCAGTAACTCAATGATCTACGAGCTCGCCTTATAATTAGAAGGTCCTGGGATCGAACTCCAATAGGTGCGTTTCGCTGGGGCAGTAAACTAGAATATAATTCCCTAAATGATGTGTCTATAGGAAATGAAAATGCAGTGATACCGAACTAATAACTGAATGCTGTTTTGAGCAGAATTTATTGTTTACACTCGAATCGGTTTATTCATAGAACTTCGTAACTTGATTTACCTAAGTATCTGCATTCTGATAACCTAACTCAAGCCCTTCTAATAGTCTGATCTGTAAAACTGACCTCACAGTCATTGTCTTGGATATAGCATCCTTTACAACAATTTGAGCGATTGATTTGACAATGTTTATCTCCGAGTGAACTGGTTGATTTCGATGCCCTTCTCCATTTATTCGATAGAATTTTCCATATATCTTGTAATGTTGTATCATACTGAATTCTGATTGATTGATGGCTGGCTCGTTAAATAAACTCTTCCTCCAACCTAATGGATTCTTAAATGACTAACACTCATATTTTTATGGGTTCATCACAGATTGATATCAGTCACAGAAACAGTGAAAAAAAAACAAGGGTTACTGGACAGCTAATTCATCACCCTAGTTTGAGAATAATCGACAGTACACACCCACCCCCCTGTTCGAAACCAGGAGCTTCCGGTGAAAAGTCAAGATCGCATAACACTCAGCCACCTACACGTGACTCCTCAATGCCCAGCCGATGAATTCTAACTTCTACCAACTCGTGACTTATGGCGACCACCAACCACTGTTTGATGCTCACTAGTGATTTGCTGTAGGACTAAGTCTCCTGGAGTTCTGGTGAGAAGTCATGACCAGTCAGGTCCATCCATATGTCACATGTAATGATGGATGTCCTACCGACGACATTGGTTGGTGCAAGTCGCTCTAAACCACGAGTAAGTGGAAGTTAGAATTCATCGGCTGGCCATTGAGGAGTCAGGTCTCCCAGTGAAACAGAATTATTTACTGGATGACGTTTCGAACAAAATTTATTGTGGTTAATAATCTTATCAATTGTAATCACACGACTTTGAAACTTGAAGTTTATAGTTTACTTTCACCTCTCCGATTTGTCGTCGTAGGGGTAGTAGAATTTTCCAGGCGATGAATCATTCCTATTACATGTATTTGCAATTGATTCGATAAACAAAATTTTATGTTATCAGTCTCTCCCTATACCCTGTGACATTAGATTTTAAAACTGTCATCATATCTCATCCATCCTATTGTATGATTGTGTGTAATTGCATATAGTGCTATCTACGTCTGAACTATTCTCTAGATTTCTTATCTTATTCAGGTTAACCAATCTAGATTTTGCTAAGTTTTTATGTTCAGCTAGTCTGACTGCCTATATTCTACTACTTTGATCTATGCATTTGACCTGACAATCATTACAGCAGGGTATCAGGTAAACTAAATTGTTCTGTTTTAAAGGCTCCACAGGATTGATCCTTTAACCGACAAAGCTTGCTTCTAATTGAGTTTTTTGGTTTGAATACTAGCCACTTTTATTCCTGCTTTGTTAAGAATTCTCCGGCGTAAGGTTTCCGAGGTTCCTTCCTTGTATGGAATTACTACTGACGACTTAGCTTCCTTACTGTTGGTGACGTCATTAATATTATCATTATTATCACTATTATTATTATCATTATAATTGTTATCATTACCATTGTTATTATCACCTTCGCTACTATCATTATTTATTTTATTTCTACATTTCCTTTACATATTTCCTGACTAATTTATCCGGGTAATTATTAAGTTTCTAGGCTTCTTTCATGTGTATGTGTTCCTGTTTTAGACCTTCATTGTTACCACTTAGTTTTTGTGCTCTGTCATTTAAACATTTCACTAATCCTACTTTTACTGACATAGGATGAGATGATCGGAGGTTCAAATATCTGTTTAAATGTGTGTACAGGGTATAGGGAGATACTGATAACAGAAGATTTGTTTATCGAATCAACTGCAAATACATGAAATAAGAATGATTCATTACCTGTCCCAGATATCTGGAAAATTCTACTACCCCCACGACGACAAATAGGAGAACACAAAGAAATCTATGAAACTCAAGTTTCAAAGTCGTGTGAATACAATTGTTAAGATTATGAACCACAATGAATTTTGTTCGAAACTTTGTCATCCAGTAAATAATACTGTTTCTTCACTATGTGATATAGCTAATAAACAAACTAATATGGAATTACTTACTACCACAGTGCCCAAGTTTCACACATATATTATTATGACTTGGAGTCGGGTTTCATTGGATGAATTGTGCACGAGCTTGACTTGTCGCCGGAAGTTCCTGGTTTCAAACAGTGTTAGTGGGTGTGAAATGACGATCAGGTTGTCCAGTACTCCCCGGTGGGTTTTCAATGGTTCTGTAACTGATATTAATCCGTGATCAGCTCGTGATAACAAATCTAATCCTTACAAACCAACTATAGAAAATTAGAACTCACATGTCATTGCAGACAGGGCCATACACATCAATGATGAATGGTTTATTACCTAACAAAATTTGATGTGACCAAGTCCAGTCTACCATTCTAAATCCATCTGAATTACTGTGCCTTTTATTTTATGGAAGGAATTTCACCCATGTAGTACAGTACGGAATCCAATATTCTCATCACAGGAATAATAATTAAAACAGATCATATTATCAAAATTAGAATATAAATATAAAATTCGAGTGAATCTATTTGAACAACACTATGATAATAAATGTTTTGAAACTGTTTAAAATGAATCTGCTCTGGACATATATGAGGTAATAATTCTGGTTTCATAACTTGAAGCGCCTGGTGACATATAAGGCACAATTTATACACTGCTCATAATCATATGAAGGTATTCAGAAAACTTTCTAACTACGTTCACATGATTCCATTATTTGTCGAGATTGACAAAATTTATCAACCGAAAAGAAAGAAACCTCACACACAGTTTCAAGTCATAGAAACCATCAGTTCAAATACAAGTAGCCTAGAAGGTGTGAAAACGCACAAAAACAACCAATCACGTTCTCGTTCACAGGGAGAGATGATTAATAAACTCGTGGAGAAATCTAAAAGCTTACTTCAATAAATTGAAATATGTGCTGAAGATGTCACCTAGTAGAGTGATGAAAGCTTCGCAAATTAACTATCCAGCTCAGAGAATACAACCACATCAAAATCATCCACCTGAGCTACATATCTTCACCATTGCATGCTGTTGCACGTGTTTGGTGTAGACTCAATGAACAAGGATTCAGTAATCAACCTCTCCCTCTCCCTACCTACCTATATTACTTTTTAGTATGTTAACCCTCTCCCACCATGCTATTGTGTGGTTGTGTGGTAATGCATGCACTGCGATTGCTGAGCTTTTTTCTGAATTACTTATCTTCTCTGGGTCAACCATTCTTACCTTAGCTAAATTCTTACGTTCTGCTAATCTGACTACTCCCGACCTACTAGTCTGACCAATGTAGTTGACCTCACAGTCATTGCAAGGTATTTCGGAAATTATATTACTTACTCTAATTGGGTCAACCTACAGAGTCCTTTAACCTACAGAGCTTATCCTACCTCAGTGAGTTTGTAGGTTTGAATGGTACCCTAATTCCTGCTTTATTTGGAATCCTACGTAGAGTCTCGTATAACTGTAGATGACTTATATTCTCTCCTATTAATGTTATTACTACCAGTCGGTGGCACAGTGGATATGACTCCATGGGTTTCAATGATCCCTGGTTTCTGAGGCAAACTAACTTTCAATGGTAAGTTTTCACTATAGTCTCCACCAAAAACCGGGAAAAACTTTGAATAAAACAAATGCTTACCAGACATATAGGTATCTAATTGAGAGGGCGTTCTGGCGGCTTTTGCATATTCCTCTATTTTGATATTGAATAGAGAAAATTAATTGATCATTGAAATCTGAGACAGTAAGTGAACACATAGTACAGAAATTCTCAGTGTTGGATGAATGTGTGAAGAATAAACTGTCTCTTAGAACAGGCCACTTCGCAATGTGTGCTTATAATTTCACATGCTCGTGTGGAGCTATTTATATTGGCCTCATAAACCGGCTGCACACTTTCCAAACGCATCTCTGAACATTATGCGTCATAGTTAGCAAAAGGGCAATTCAAGACAATTACCTGCTCAATTCTTGAGCACTTGATGAACTCAAGCCACACAGCTCCACCACAGTCCGTCTTTCACGATCATCTAAAAGGTTAGGCCTAATGGTACAAAAGGCGTTAATTTTTAGATTTTGTGTATGGCGGGGTCGCTGGTAGTTCGTCAATGGAAGTTTGAACTTTGTGTACAGAAGACGTTTGTCCAGTTTCTTATTCTATCTTGGTCTTAACCTCTTCACTAGTGGTTCCCTATAAAAAAAGTTTCATTTTTTAAGTTTCAATTTTACTTTTAGTTTGCTTTAGCTTTATTAATTAATTCATTTATCACTTTCATATGCTGTTTTTGTACACTTTCACACCCTTATCACACTTGTTAAATTGACATTCAACTACCACCTTTATTCTCACGCAATAACAATTTTTACCTTATCAAACATCGAACTTTGTGCCATTGTTAAGTAACACGTAATTTACAACTTTTATTTATTACTTCTAAAGCCAATTCTGAGTAATTATGTCGCCCAGTCTCCTATTACTCAGTAATAGACTACTAAACATTTTTATTAAATATATATACGACTGTACAGCCTTTGAAAATGATCTGGTCGATGAAGAAGCATTTCCTTTGCTGAATTTGTCTATTGTTTTCTTCATGACTCAATGAATATTTTCGGTAATCCTCAGTGTTTCCACGAGTTGATCATGGATTGATATCAGTCACAGAACCATTGAAAACCAGACAGTACTAGATAGTTGTTCCATCACAGTTTTAGAGTGATCGGTAGTACGCATTTACTGCCAGGGTTTGAACCCAGGACCTTCTGGTTACAATTTCAATCCGTCATCAACTATTAAAAACAAAACTAACTCCTACAAACTGAACTTTAGAAAATTAATCTGATGCTCGCTAGTGACTTGCTACAGGAAGAAGTTTCTTGGAATTCTAATGAGAAGTCACGACAAGTGAGATCCATCCAGATGTCAGATGTAAGGGTGGATGTCCCATCAATGACATTGGTTGGTGCAAGTCACTCTAAATCACTTGTTGATAGAAGTAAGAATTCATCAACTGGCCACTGAGGAGTCGGGTTCCAGTGGCTGAGTTGTATAAGAGGTTGACTTGTCATCGGAAGTTTCTGGTTTTGAACAGTGTTAGTAGGTGTGAACTGCTGATGATTCTCAAACTAGTATAAAACACCAGGTTGTCCAGTACTCCCCGGTGGGTTTTCCATGGTTCTGTAAGTGATATAAATCCGTGATCACCTCGTAAAATAAATCTAATCTATGGAAACCAACTCTTTATATTTGAAATATATCGCATTTAATATTTTATGAATGAAATTACCTTCACTTTGTTGTTGTAAAAATCTGTTTCTCGGATCAACACCTGCATCAAATCATCAATAAATAGACGTTTAGACTGGATAAAAGTAACATTATGCGATGAAATTATGCAATGAGAACAACTGAAATTAAGTAGTGCTGTATAGCTGTTTCTTCCTAGACTAAGAAAGATTTTTCAGCAGCAGATATCTCTAATCTTCCTAGTGATCAACTTCAGGAGCTACAGATTATGAGGCTAGCCCGCTGACGACTATTCAACCACCGGCCTATGAATTCGAAATTCGAGCACACGTTGAGAAAACTGTCTAGTGACATCGCGCGCCGGGCAGTTACTCGAGTGGAATCCAAATAATGAAGTGACTAGTGGGTCGTTCTAGGGTGACATAGAAGAGATCGTGTAAGGAAGAGATATGCATTCCTTCAAGATTTGCAGATTGTTCAACAAATTCAATAAGTTGCAGTTTGTCAGTAATACTTTGATCAACTGACGGCTCAAAACTCTTCGCATATGAGGTTGCTTTCTTGGTCTGGTCACCTGGTGGCTAACATTTTACTCTATGAATGCGATTTATTACTCTTAATCGTATCATTGTTCTCACAAGGCTTTTATCTTCCTCTTTATTATTCATCGTAATTTTTTTCTATCCCGTACAGTCGTTGAATCATTTAGACCTCGAGTGTGTACTTTGATTGGACGTTAGAAAATGACCAGTGTGATGTGTCTAGTCCTTTCGTCGATGCAGACTGAACTCTATCAGTCAGGTTTTCATTATAACCACCATTCCAGATAGTTTGCCATCATAATGCATATTGATTTGATGATATTAGATGGTCGGAGGTGATTGGCTTCACAGGAAGCCTTGCCTAACCTAGATTTCGTGCTAGTTGGCGCTCAAATCAATGTCCACTGTGATGGCGAGCTATGTAGAATGGTGGTCACATTGCATAGAATTCTGTCTGTACCAACGAAAGGACTAGACACATCACACTGGTCAATTACTAGTGTCCGATCAAAGTATCCAATACAGTCATGCAGAAGATCAGTCGCAAGCCCGAATAGCTCAGTGGTAAACTGTCGGACTTCAGGCGGTACTGAGTGACGCGGGTTCGAAACTCAGAGTTGACATCAGTTCCATCAAGATTACAGAAGCGCCTTGCTGACTGTTGAGTGTCAACTAGCACGAAACCTAGTTCAGGCAAGGTTTCCTGTGGAGCCGATTGCCTCCAACCACCCAATATCGTTCATGACCTCATGCGTGTTTACTACTGTCAGCATAAAGCACCTGATAGATCTGCTTGAGAAAAATAATATAATTTAACCAAACACCATGTAATAACTGTGAGATTGATTGTATAGATAACACAAATAGACTAGGATCAATCAGAGGATCGGAACACAGGAATTTCTAGAGGGTAGTCAGTATGGAGTACTTGGTAACTATTTCGTCAGGACCTAGGACCATCCAGTTTCAAGGTAAAGCCAAAGTCGTATGAATATATACGAGCAATGCATTGATCTGGAAACCTCATACAGTTAGTAATACAATATCAAATTTTTAAATCTTTCCATTATTATTATTATTATTATTAGAACAAGACATATAAGCGAACAATTTTGTCATTTTTAATTAGAACTTCTTCAAGCTTTACCCTAATATACATTGATTTATATACAAAACAGCATTTCTCCAATGACGGTGAGTTTGTGGAACAAATAATAATAATGTGTTAAATGTTTTGAACGTCAGCAGCAACGATGATTGTTATGACAGCCAAACGGAGGATAGGCGAATGTTCCTGAAACTGCTATTCAGTGGGGACTTGGCTGGTGAAGTCTTACATCTAAGTTTATCGAGAGCAATAAAACGGATTTATACTGCCGCCAACCTTTGTTTCTTGTTCTTCAGACAAGCAAATGTGATCGCTTAAGCAAAAGACAAGCTGCCCAGCTGTCCCACTTCTGTGTGTATCTACAAATTTAACTGATCCTGCGAAGAGAGCTATACAGGGTGAACAACTAGACAGCTCAAGAAACGTATTAATGTGCATCTTCCTTAGTGGTTCTGTAAAGGCCAAGTGGTATATATAAGAAGTTCCATTTTGTGTTCTTTTATTGATAGTGGTCACCAAGTAGACAGAATAAGTGCCTTCAAAGTTATCTGTCGCATTCCATTAAACCTTTCGAACCCGACTTTCACACATAGCCGAAGCTATATGAACTAATTTGTGAGGACAGTCATAGTGCCTTTGAATGTAAAAGATGTTTTTTGTACCCTTATCTCTCCCCTGGTTGTCATCAATTGTAATTGAAGCCCTCCCACCCTTTTTATTTTCCATTTTCCTCGTGTTTTATGATATTTATTTAAATTCTGATTATCTATCCACTTCACCTTTATTATTACATAACTTCTAAGATTTGACCTAATTCATTTATTGAATTGTCTACATATACGCATATCACCCTCTATCTTCGTTATTCTTATCGCTACCTGCATTAACCTTATTATCAATATTTTTGCTATCATTATAATCATCGTTGTTACTGACGTCCAAAACATTTAACACATTATTTTTATTATTTGATCCACAAACTCACCGTCATTGGAGAAATGCTGTTTTGTATATAAATCAATGTATATTAGGGTAAAGCTTGAAGAAGATCTAATTAAGAATGACAAAACTGTTCGCTTATATGCCTTGTTCTATTATTATATCACTCACTGCATTTCATATAAAGGTATTTTCAACGATTATAAGGAAAAAAGTAGTTCTTAAATTAGATGATTGAGTATGGCTCACGTCTAACATAATCTCTAAACCATCCAGCTTCGTGTATAGCCTCCAATCGTTTGACCTCTTCAAAAGGAAAAAAATATACGTAGAAAATATCATTCAAATGTATATTTTGATCTAACGGGTGCCGTCAGTAATTATAAAACTGATCCAACAGTTGTACGACAGTGTTGCATGCCAGGTAATCCACAACATGAAATTCACGGAATCTTTCGAAGAAGTGAAGACCGGAGTAAGACTAGCTGGCTGGCTGTCTACTATCTCGAATGATTTTCCTGATTGCTATAGGCTGGACAATGCGACAGAGAGAGATAAGTGAGAAAACAGGCATAAAATGGACTTACACAGAAAACTTCGAGGATCTAGCTTTCGCCGACGATAAATGTCCGATTCCCCACAAACTGGTATATATGCAAGTGAAAATCAACAAGTTGGCAGAAGAATCATCCATGGAAGATAGGAAGGACTTCAGGTGAACGTAGAGAAAACAGAGGTGATGAAGATTCCTGGCCAACAGCAACAGCAACAACAACACACAACACACAACAATCAGCCAGCAAAGATGGGAGAAATCTGAAAGTAGCCACCTCCTACCTACCTGTGAAGCATCGTTTCAACTACAGGCGGACAGAAATGATGAGGATATCAAAGCAGCGAGGAACGGGAAAGGAAGGTAAACTTTCATTTCTCTCAAGTCTGTGTGGAGGTCAACAGCACTCAGCATGAAAATGTAAATAAGATCTGGATTTTCAACTCCAATGTGAAATTATTGATACTTACCATACGGATCAGAGACTTGGCGCGTTATGAAGAGCACTTCGAACAAACTACACACATTCATCAACATCTGTCTTCGTTCAATACTCCGCTCAAGATCAGATAGCCGACCAGAAGATATCAACAACAGGGATCTCTGGCAGCGAACCAACTCAGCAGGAACCGATTGTACACAAAATAAGCAGGAAGGAATGGAGGTGGATTGGCTAGATATACTCTGAGAAAACAGTCAACTGACGTCACACTCCAAGCCTTAACTCCACTAGAACCCAAGTGAGAAGCGGCGAGTTAGTCGTTCAAGGGTGACACAGAGAAGGTCATGTGAAGAGGAGATGAAAGTACGTGGGCAGATGTGAAGCCAGGTCAGATAAACGTTGGCAGAGAACCGAACGCAATGGAGACGTGCAGCTGATCTCTTCATCTCATGTCCGTTCGTGATGAAAATTTGAAAAATTAGAATTCATATAGAATCCTTCTTTTTTCATTCTTTTAAGTCCCTAGTTGAAAATAGAACCTCAGGCCAGAGGTGTGAAGTTTCGATAGCTGTGGTGTTTATATTTACGGCATGGGGTTGCTGGTCTTATGCCCAACCTTTTCTATTTACCAGTCTTATTACTGACTTAGAGCGGTAAAGGAGTGTGCCGGCCCGGGATTGAACCTTGAACCACCTGCGTGGTTGGCGAGCATTCCACCCATGTGCCACCTTAAAAAATCCTATAATCGTTATATCGAGTCGTCGTTTTATTTACTTATTTAACTCAGTTATTCATCTCACCGTTTTTGAACCATCTGTCACCATTTTCCGTATTATAAGATGCTGCTTTTTCGCGTCTGGAGACTAAATGCAGTTAAAAAACACACAGAAAGTTATGAGTACTTGAGATTATTCTTCTATCCTCTATATGGAAAATATACCTGTTATTTTGGGAAATATCCTATCTGAATATATATATATATATAAATATGTAAATATATATATGTAGAGAGAGAAAGACACTGGCAATAACTGACTCAGGATGAAGAGATTCTTTTCAAATGATTTGTTATTATAATATATTTATAAACCTGGGCACTGTGGCATTATTTAACTCCATAATATTTTTATTGATTAGATATTTCACACACACATTGTGAAACAATATTATGTTTTGAACACAATTCATTCTTGTTCATAATCCCACCATCAACTCTAACCACACAGTTTAGAAACTTCACTTTTATAGTTCAATTTGCTCCTTCCAGTTTATGGTAGGGATGAGAGAAATTCCCTGGGACAGATGTAGGATCACTCCTGGTGTTCCTGCTCTCAGTTCACTTGATGAATAAAGTTCCCGTTATCAGTCTCTCAAATGTGTTTAGTCAAATTGCATAAAGTACTATAGCTATGCTATCTTCCTGATTTCTTATCTCATTAAGGTCAACTAACCTAGATTTTGTTAGACTGTTGTGCTCCGCCAATCCCATTGAACCCATCCTACTACTCCACAGGATTGATCTTACAACCGGCTTAGCTTATTTCCAATTGTGTTTGTGATTTTGAATGCCATCCATTGTTATTCCTGGCTGCACTGTTAAGAAATCTCCGTAAGTTGGTTTCCCAGGTTTCTTCTAAATATGGAAGTACTACTGATGATGTAAACCCAATTCTACGTGTTTGCAACTATGCAGGATATTGTTGTTGTATTTTTTTCGTCAAAACTCTAGTCGAACGACCGATATACCTAGCTCCACACGGTCAAGTGAATTGATAAACAACCATAGAGTTGGCTAACTGTGAGATCTTGTCCTACAGGCTTTTTGAACAGAAATGGTCGACTAGAAAACGCTGTTCTCAGAGTGGCCGCTAAAGATATCTCTTTCAGAGAATGTCAACATCTTAACCAACCTAGAATTCAAGGTTAGTGTGCAGCAGATGTTAAGTCACATTTCAACGGCTTTGAATGTATATTCTTATCCATAAAACATGGAGATAATCTCAATGGGATATTTCCTAGAAAGCTTAACTAATCCTCAACAGCTTCAGGACTATGAATACGCTGAATGCAAGTGGCAAGTGATCGAATAAGGGATTAGATTTTCAACTATTTGGTAACCAGCTGTAGAAATGGCTGAAAATCTTACTAATTCTACCTGCCTTTCAAAAACTCCCAAATAATATGAACCGGTAATCATAAATTACATAACCAACGTTAAAATCGTCAGCTGTCTATTTTAATTCACGCTATTAGTTTCTAAAAATCATTTACACAGATATACAATCGTACAGCCTAAAATTAAATTCTTTAAAAAGGGTAACTTTATATTTTTAACTGAACACTGGTTAGTAACTAGTGTCATGTGTCCTACAGTAGGTCATTCGATAATGTCTCTGACTCCAGCACTGATTGACACGATTGACACGAATCTCAGGAGGTACATGAGCATCTTCGAGATTGAAAGAACGCCTTTCTGACTGGTGACTAAAACAATAACGAAATCTAGGTCAGATATAGCGTTTTATCGATTGCCTCAAACCTTCTTATAAAAGTAATTCAAGGTTTCTTCCCGTTGAAATATTATATAATAATAATTAGTTATCAAAGATGATTGACTTACACTCAGCCGTTTTCGCTTTATAGTAGGCATTGGCGTATGCTTCTATATACTTGTGTACTGATTCTAGGTCGATAAAAGGTGGTTTTATTGTGCAGAAAAAAATTACATGACTTTAATTCGCCTATATAATTGGATATATTTATACAGTGTGTACACATCTATCTGTCTACGTGTTATGTGGCAGAGAGTAGTAAGATTGTAAATTGTATTCTGTGAAATATCTTGATCCATATTCCAAGATGGGTCAGATGGGTAGTCTAGCACAACACCGCAGACTGTTCACCCAGAATTATGATACACACATACAGAATACTGCTTACTAAACATGATCAAGCCATCAGCTGATCAACCGCAACTCGGAACATGTCCATCAGACTCAACAACACCTGAAAGATATAGTGCATATATCAAACCACTGTCTCCCACATACTGTACATATCCACTATAGCTGGCTAGTAATACTCTCAACCAGTAAAATGAACCAGTGAGTCAACTAAACTAAGCTCAACGTCCGTTATACCTGATCAGTTCGACTACAGCTGACAGACAGCATTGCCAGGCATGATGAACACCTTAAGCAAGTATACTGACAAACACACCTATACATCCTCTGGTGAGTGCGGCATACGGCAAGCGCACCACGCACATCCACCATACTCAGGCACCCATTGTTAGGCAGACATTGAAAGATTGCTAAAATACCCAAGCACAAACCATACTCAACACGTGAATTGACAGTGATCACCGTTCAAATCCATAGGTGTACTTCTAAGTGGTTTCACACCCTATTTTAATCTGTCTCTCTCTTTCCAAAGTTCTTTTCAATTTTTTCTCAAGGTACTCGTTTTAACTATCGGACTCTTGTAAGCACTTATTCTTGGATGAAGTTTACCACCCACTTTGGGCCGCATTCTCAAACAATCCAATTTGAAGTGTAGCTCTGGAGAAAAATTGCATGCTTGGCCTCTTCCCGTGCAGTCGTCTTTCACTTCCTGTCAGTCAGAATCATATGTCCTACTTATTGCTATGCGTGAGGGAAATCAATGATGCTAGAAACATACTTAAAAACCATATTGCCTGAAAGTCAAGTAACTACAAACTTAGGTGTTGCGTTGGTCCTTGTTCACTCAGGGTTTTTAGGGGAAACCTTGTTAGGCTCCTTCACTCCACCTAGTGATATGCTGAAGTCTAGTGCGCATTCATATCTGATCTGAGGTCAAAGTAAAACTGACTTGTGCATTACACACCATCGGTGAAACCAAAGAATATTCATAAACCTCCGAGAAAGCTATTTATATAAACATATTTATATATGTAAGTGTATATACGGCACGTCATGTACTCTGCAGCGTTTATGTGAATGTGTGTGTTTGTGAGGAAACCCAATATGCCTACTGGATCAGAAGTTCTATACCAGACTAGGCTGTGGCTGGATAAATTAAAGATAACTGAGAACTTTATTGATTCTAATATTACTACTGTGTTCAAGGTGCGAAATCACCAAAGTTTCCTTTTGATCTGGTTGCTACAGCCATGAACAGGCGAAACGAGCGAACGATGGTTGAGTAAAACAAGCACTTCTCATTGACTTGATTGGTAAAGTATGAATTGTGTCACAAAACTGCTACTCACAGAGATACCGCTGTGTCTCCAAATAGTTCTTTCTGAATACGGAGAAGCGTATCGTTTACTTTATAGTAGCCAGCATCTGACAGTCAATATCTCTCTGGATTAACTGCACTATTTCATTCACTTATTGCGTTCTAGAGATCAAAGCGCATGTCATAATTCCAAAGTTTATAGGGATTGTTTATTGTCATTGTAAAGGACAATAACTTATAGTTTTTTTTAATAAGGAGAAATGCATACTGTAAACTATTTAATCTGTTGACGTCTATTGGAGCGCATTGAACAGTCTTCCCTACGATTACATCATCAAAAAGCTTTTGGATAAGTGGAAACTGTAAAGAGTAATAATATAAGTATATATTTGGAGAACTCACCAGGGATAGGATCAACTTCTTTATTCTGTGCAGCTAAAATATTGATTTATAAACAGTCATCTTCATGAGTGAGTTTCCAAGGATTTCAATGATTACAAATTTGCTTATTCAAAGATATAAGTCAGGGGACCATATTCAAACATCATGCAGTACTGGACAGTTGTTTCACAGGGAGTGAAGTCGAGACCATCAGGTAACGTGTGGGATCACCAGTTTTGATGTGATGACAGATAGGCGCCAATGACGTATGTAAAAGACATCTAAACTGGGACGAAAAATCTGTCGACTACTTCCCACTGATTTGCAATACTTCTCTAATTCATACCAATGCATGATGTAACGGGTAAACAAACATACACGTTTACTGAAAGTCACACTATTTATTGGAATAGATAGAGACTATAGAACAAGTAGAGAACAGGTATTATTTCGTGTTCATTATACTACTCATAAAATTCAAGTAGACAAATAATTCAACCAATATCAGACGAAACATTCAATTACAAAACGAACATCGTCTACGCGTTAACATGTAACAACTGTGGACAGCATTATACTGCTCATAGCTGACGTCCCACTCGTCTTTGCATCAACATGCACATACTGACTGTCAGAAAAACACACATGTCATATCTTCCCTCACAGCAATGCATGCAGGCGAATTATGGATATCAGTTAAACTGGACAAATGTATATCACGTAAAGAAAGGAAATCCAAAACAGCCAGAGAATTCCTAGAAGCCCAGCACCAAAATTTATTTCACAAACTCTCAACTTCTTTGAGTAATAGTCAAAACGAAAGTTTTTCTTAGAAATTAACAAAGGAGAAACTGATGCTGAGGTAGGTGATATTCAGACATGTTTTCTGTCATGGTAGCGTTGGTAATACAACACTCCTGGACTGAATCAGTTCACATAAGACTGAAGCCTACATCAACATTATGAAATTAGGAGAGTGTGGATTCAGTTTTAGACCATCTTGATGATATCACTGGTTAACCTCAGATATGAGACTATTTCATATCACGACAGTCCAATGCACAAGCTACTAGGATAGAAATTGTCAGTTCATTAGACATATTTAATTAGGTCACTGAAAGAAGCCCATCAGCACTTTTAGGCTGTGAAGTAGATCACTTCCTACTTAAAACAGTGCTGCTGTTTCCATCCTGCGAGTCCAGAGTGAGTGCATGCTTAAATCCGCCTGCTTAATAAAAGTGTTCTAGCGGTCGAATGAAAAGTACCAGTGTAGTCTGAAAAGGCAAGTCGAACAAACTTTTCAGTTTTATGTAGACATGAAACAATGCATTATGTTGGAGTGATTTTTTAGATATCTGGAACAGGCAATGAATCATTCCTATTACATGTATTTGCAGTTGATTCGATAAACAAAATTTTATGTTATCAATCTCTCCCTATACCCTGTGACATTAGATTTTGAAACTGTCATCCTATCTCATCCATCCTATTGTATGGTTGTGTGTAATTGCATATAGTGCTGTCTACGTCTGAACTATTCTCTAGATTCCTTATCTTATTCAGGTTAACCAATCTAGATTTTGCTAAGTTTTATGTTCAGCTAGTCTGACTGCCCCTATTCTACTACTTTGATCTATGCATTTGACCTGACAATCATTACAGCAGGGTATCAGGTAAACTAAATTGCTCTGTTTTAAAGGCTCCACAGGATCGATCCTTTAACCGACAAAGCTTGCTTCTAATTGAGTTTTTTGGTTTGAATACTAGCCACTTTTATTCCTGCTTCATTAAGAATTCTCCGGCGTAAGGTTTCCGAGGTTCCTTCCTTGTATGGAATTACTACTGACGACTTAGCTTCCTTACTGTTGGTGTCGTCATTAATATTATCATTATTATCACTCTTACTGTAAGATCGATTCAATTCCCATCCTTAAATCAAGTCAACCTGTCCCGCATCAGCCTAGCGTTGTTGCAACCCAATTATCCAAGGCTAACGTGCCCCCCTTGTTTAATGAACTGTGTGTGTGTTTTTACATCGATCCGTTTAGTCAGACCGTTGAACTCATGACCCAATCAGAGTATTCGGTGAACTGTTATTTTTGCTGACCCATGTCTTACTTTGTACTATTCTGTCGAGTTTATCGTATTTATTGATCTTCGTCTGTATCAGCCTACCTGGTTAAGTAGCCAATTAAATTCTATCTTTGTGCCTATGCTCTGTCAATCTCATAATCACTCTCTGTTCTATGCCTTGCCTTACTTGGGTTCATTCTTCTACTGACTGCTTACCTGAACGTTCGTGTCTGATTACGGCTAGTTCGGAATTTTGGCTTTAACGTTATTCCGCTCTGATAGCGGTACCTTGCTTTCTGTTGAGCTTTGTGCTTCGTACTCTTGAAACCGTTAAGGTTTCTTGTGTATATGATTATTGATTTGTTTATTAATAGTACCGTAGAAACAGTGACCGGTTTCTTGTTTGTTCTGAACCGGGATAGGCTTTATCTACGCGTGACTTAATTTCAAGCGATATTGCACTAACAATTATTATTATTATAATCATTATTATTGTTATTATCACTATCGCAACTTTCATTAAGGAAATGTAAAAATAAAATAATGATAGTAGCGACAGTGATAATAACAATAATAATGATAATAATAATGACGACACCAACAGTAAGGAAGCTAAGTCGTCAGTAGTAATTCCATACAAGGAAGGAACCTCGGAAACCTTACGCCGGAGAATTCTTAATGAAGCAGGAATAAAAGTGGCTAGTATTCAAACCAAAAAACTCAATTAGAAGCAAGCTTTGTCGGTTAAAGGATCAATCCTGTGGAGCCTTTAAAACAGAGCAATTTAGTTTACCTGATACCCTGCTGTAATGATTGTCAGGTCAAATGCATAGATCAAAGTAGTAGAATAGGGGCAGTCAGACTAGCTGAACATAAAACTTAGCAAAATCTAGATTGGTTAACCTGAATAAGATAAGAAATCTAGAGAATAGTTCAGACGTAGACAGCACTACATGCAATTACACACAACCATACAATAGGATGGATGAGATAGGATGACAGTTTCAAAATCTAATGTCACAGGGTATAGGGAGAGATTGATAACATAAAATTTTGTTTATCGAATCAACTGCAAATACATGTAATAGGAATGATTCATTGCCTGTTCCAGATATCTGGAAAATTCTACTACCCCTATGACAAATAGAAGACAAAGAAATCTATGAAACTCAAGTTTCAAAGTCGTGTGATTATAATTGATGATATGATTATGAACAATAAATTTTGTTCGAAACGTCATCCATTAAATATATATATTTTATATTTTGATTACAGCTTGATGCCACACCATATCTTCAGTACAAGTATGGCATTTTCAGCATGGATATCGGTAGTCCAAATTTTTCAGGACGACCATAGATATCGGGTGTGCGTCGGTCGGGATCGAACTTGGGACCAAGTGCATGGTCGGCGAGAGTCCTAACCACTGTGCCACCGACGCATGTCACTATGTGATATATCTAATAAACAAACTAATATGGAATTACTTACTACCACAGTGCCTAAGTTTGACACATATATTATTATGTTGAAGTACACTGGTAACATCTAAAGTGACTCTACCGTATTTATAAGCAAACTACTACAGATCACTGAAAGTGTTTCAAGGTAGTTTTGAGAACAAGCATCTGACAACAATAACAACAACAACCAATATCTGACTGGATTAACTCAACGCCTTCTAAGGTTTATTGCACTGTGAATATATTGAAAGACATATTGTAATGCAAAGTATGCAGGAAGCACTCATAAATCAGTATAAAAGCACACAGAGTAGGTATTAATTAAATAATGGAAAAGGTGCAGGGGTCAATGAAACGATTACACTCAATTGTTAGTCATCTAACATTGGAAAGATGAAGACCTTACAGTCACAAAAGATAATCAATATACTCATCAGGAGATTGAAAAAAATTAATTTTTGTGCTCACATTATTAACAATTCGTGTGGTTTTTGAGAAGAGTGTGCAGTGAAGAGAAAATTCTATGGAAATCTTTCAAAACTCACCATACTTATTTCGCCGCTGAGTATCCGTTGCAGCTGTCACTATGATTGATAAAGCGAAACATAGTTGTAATCATTCACTAAACATTAAGAATTCTTGTCAAATATGACAAAGGAAATATCAAGCCATCAAAATCCCGTAATTCATTGTAATTTGAAGAAAATACATGAGAAGTAAGGAGGTTTCTAGGTGGAGATGCACACACGCACACACAATGGCTGATTAAAACTGTTGCCCTGACACAATATAATACTGAATAACTTGAATGAGTAGTTTTATACTCACTCACGCTTTCTCGCCAGTCCGAAGCATGAGCAAATAGGAAGACTTTAACTTGGGACTTTTTCCCTTACATGACTAAACCTACAAAACCGATTGGGAAACTAAAGCCCACAGAGAATAATTTAGGAAATACAAAACTTCGAAGAACACTAATCTTATACTTTACTTGAGTCGGAGAAGCGAAATGACGCGATAGGGTGATGAAAGCTTCCGGGAAGCCAGTCTGTCAACCAGCAGGTGTGTCTTCTTCTCTCGATGGAAGCAGGCAAGAGTAAGAATAGGGATGTGGAATGTCCGTACAACGTGCAAGACTGCCTGTGAAGGCTGAACAGGAGGCGAAGTAATGCGAAGAAGTGCCTAGAAGTGCTAGGTATCTGCAAGAGCAGATGGAATGGCTGCGGACTGTTGAATTTGTCGACTGCACAGTCAGTAATCTGTTCCGGTCTGGTCACTCAGACGGCAATAACAAGCACACTGAGGCAGCGGTGAGTGACTATCATGATGTCATCAGTGGTTCCATAGCCCTGGTGCAATGGGAACCAATTTCCCCTTGCATAAACATGAGAGGAAGATCAAACTCAAAGAGACGGAAGGAAGGTCACAATTATCCAGTGCCAAGCACAGTGATACAAATAAGGCCGAACAAGAGAATACTGGAGATTGCTTCAGACTAATACAAAGAGAAACGGACAATGCCCCGAATGTCGAGATCACAATGCTTATGGGCGATATGAATGCAATCCGAACTGGGATCAGATAATACAGGCAGAGAACTCATCATGGGTGGATAGGCTGTCGCTCGGCTGGATAAATGAGAATGGAGAATTATTCTCAGACTTCTTCGTTTTCAATGATTTGGTGATCAGAGGAAGCGTGTACAAGCACAAGGATACACAAAAAGCAAAATGGATTTCACCTGACCGACATACCACAAACCAGATAGATTTCATATCAGTGCTGTTCAAGGAAGTGGAAATGCAGATAGTCTCCTGGATACAAAGTCAAAGGAAGGGAGTTCACTGATCGCTTACTTAGAGCATCATCTAGTTGAAGGAACCCGCCTACAAGGTGAAGCTGAAATTCGTGAAATAGGGAGTCTCATCATCCTGAAGTGAACAAAAGATGCACCAGCCATGAACAAGCTGGATTCAGGAAAGGCAAATCATGTGCTGATCAAATTGTGAATCTACGCATCGTCCTTACAGAACAAAGCATGAAATGGCAATCAACTCCGCCTCTACCTCAACTCTCTTCATCGATTTCAAAAAGGCCTTCAACAGCGCAGCGTTGACTGATGAGTAATTTGGAAGTCAGTTAAACACTACGGCGTGTATTTCAAAATTATTTATCAACCTCATTCAACAGCTTTATGACAGTGACATGTGCCAGGTGATGCACAACGGAAAACTCACTAAGGTGGTCGAAGTGCATACAGTCTTGAGACAAGACTGACTGCCTATTATCACCGATGATATTCCTAATTGCGGTAGACCGGATTACACGGATGACTGTGCATTGGGAACGAGTAGTCAAGAATACGCTGGACGATCGATCATTCTCCGGTCCCATCATTATACATGTATAGCAGGCTGTAACAGTGATAGAAGGAATGATTATGTTAGATGGCTGGAGGCTGTCGGCCACAGAAAATGCTGTCTGACCTAGGTTTCGTGTACGCTGGTGTTCATCAGTCAGCAAGTCATATCTGTAGTCATCATTAAAGAACTCATGTCCTTCATCTGAGATTTCAACACACGTCACCCAATGGTGTGTAGTAGTCAGAGATGTCAGTGCGAATCACTCAGTGGTGGTCACGTCTCTGACTGCAGAACTTCCTATCGCCAATCACCCTCAAACTAACTGATAAACACAAGGTTGAATCATGAATATTATTTATAAAAGAAGAAATTTCCTTATCAACTTACGGAAAATGAGCAGCAATACCAGTACAGCATACATAACTGGAGTATTCTTTCATACAAATTTTACAACTACTCACAGTTCTATTTATAGATACCTCCTCATGGGAATCAGTAAGCAAAGTTCACACAGATCTCATGAAAACTTCTGTAGTACACAAAATCCAGTGAGAATTTCGTTGTTTTTCTCATATTTCTAAACAAGACCTGGTTTCACACTTTTTTAAACTTAACAAAAGTACACTTTTAAATTTACTCAGGTATATGTACAGCAACGTGAAATGGAAGCCAGTGAGTGAATGATCCAACGATATGTATACAGTTGTTTTAGTTATGGTAACTGAATTTTCTATTCATTTGGAAGGCTCACACGTAATATTAATTAAACAGTGAACTGTGGAAATAATTTCTAGTGATATCAGTGAGAGTTTTACTCAAGATCAAGGAGTACTGGATAGCTGTTTCTACTTTCTTTCACATTCTTTAGAAGAGAGCACTTGTAATCCCATGACATGGTGGTTGATTCTGCATATGGAACGGACTCAACAAGCAACACTGACTGGGACGAATGTTATTGCAGGTCCTATCATGTCAGGATGATGGTTGGGATAGCGATTAGACTAAAAGCAGTTGCCGGCGTTGTGCAACGTGTATATACATTATGCTTGGGTTCTGTGAACAAAATCTTGATGTTAATCAAGTGGGATGTAAGAATAGTAAGGCGTTTGTCTCAGATGACCAGCGTACCAGCCAGTTATGCATTTAGTCCACTCTGGAGAAAGGATGTGACGGTTAGAAAATATGTTAACTCCGTAAAATGATACATCCTTACTTACCCTACAGTGGTTTGTCGTTTTCGGTAAGTTGTTAATATGAAATCAACCATAAAAACCCATTCAAACAGGCTGTGTGTGTGAATGATGTCGAGAAGTTGTCACCTGACTATACGGTCACAAAACAGTATTTCCACTCATAATAATAATAATTTGCTTTATTCCAAAACAGTACTTTTGATACAGAATGGAATTCTCAGCATTTTTACTACAGTATTGCATCCAGTTAGTACATTATCAGTAAATAGAATTCCACATAGATTAAGGAAATCTCAGTTCATTATGACAACAACATATTGGCATGTCGGTAGCAAAGCCAAAGCTGAACAGTGTTTGAAGGTGTTAGAAAAGTAGGTGCTGTCATATTTACTGGCGTAAGCGAGAGAAAGAAACAAAGCAGCACATAACGGAAAAGAGAGAGAGAGAGAAAAGGAAAAGAAAGAAAGAAAATGTTGTACCTATAAATGATATGAGTTGGAAAGACGAGGTACAGTTGTTCTACTGAATATTTAATGAATTATAGGTGTCACGCCTAATGCTTTCTTTATCGCACAGAACACGAGCTAAGTAGGGTATAGTTGAGTTTTTTTACCTGCTGGTGCGAGCATATAGTTTTCTATATAGGCTTTTGGTTTTGCCTGATGAGATGCAAGGGGAGAGTTGTGAGTGAAGAGGGTGGTGTGAGTAAGATAAAATGGATTTGGCCCATTTTTCACATGAATCCGTGTCCATATTAACAAGCTGGTTAAGTGGCACGTTGCTCACCCTGCTGACAACCTTTAACATCCTGCGTAATATGTTATAGTCTTTCTTCAGTAGCCCGGGAAAAACTAAGGGGGAACAATAGAGAATAATAGGCAGAATGTGAGAGTTAACGAATTGTAGGAGTAAGGGTTGGGTTATACCAGAATGTTTTAACTTCTTGATGTAGAAGGTAAGACGGAATATTTTCTTAGAAATCGCCAAGATATGAGACGACCAGGAACGATCAGCAGATAGAATGACGCCTAGGAATTTGATGTCCGACTTGGTTTCTATTTCAGTGCCATCTATGTTGCACTCCTCGTGAGAGCCAACCAGTTTGTTTAGGTTTGATTTATGCCTAAAGGTGAAACTGACTGTTTGGCATTTGGAGGGGTTTAAGGTAAGACCGTTTTCCTTAGACTACTGGCTGATTTCTGACAGAAAGCCATTAAGTACATAGCAGTCATCAGTGTGAGAAGTATATTGGTAGCGTCTACGGAGTTCACTGACAACGAACTATAATGGCGATCGTCCTAATACACGCATTATACAGTAGTTTTGATCCCCTGATTTCCCTCTTTCGTCTGCATTTGTGTGCTGCAAGCAACGTGTCAACTTGGGTGACAAGCAAAGACACTGTCAGTTCGTCAGCATATTTGACAAGATTGATGTCATTTGACGATGGTAAGTCATGTAGAAAGAAAGAAAAGAGAAGTGGTGAAGGCACAGCTCCTTGAGGGACACCAGCTTCAGTGAGCGCAGCAGAGGGGGATTTGCCTAAATATACGGTGTACTACATTCTGTTAGAGAAGTAGCAATGCAACCAGTTAGTGACCCAGGACTCAGTTTTTGTCATGGAGAGCTTATTTAGCAAGAGACATCTAGGTACAGAATAGAAAGCAGAAGTGAAGTCGAGAAACGGGCGGCGGACGTATTTGGCACCTTTATCTAATGATGAGACGATGTTGTTGTGTAAGACGGCTGCAGCGTCTAAAGTGCTCCTACGCTGTCTATAGGCAAATTGTTTATGGTCTTCAAAGCTTTCAAGGAAGGGTTCAAGTTTAAGAAGTACCAGTTTTTCCATATGCTATAGAAACAGGAAATTAATGGCAATGGGTCTGAAATTTATGTTCTTGCTGTTTCCAGGTTTAGGGACAGGGACTATTTTAATGTCTTTCCATGCAACAGGTACGACATTTTTGGAGAAAGAAGCATTTAGGATGTTAGTTAGTGGAGAACATAGAGCATCTGCACATTGTTTTAGAACATATGCAGGTATACCATCAGGGCCAAGGCTTGAGCGTTTTAAGACATTTTCGAACATCGAGAGCATTAAAGTCGTGAAAGATATCACCTACATGATTGGTAAAATTAGAAGTGGTTATCGTAGAAGGACAGCGTATAAAAGACTGATTAAGAGCATTAACATCATAAGAGGGAAAGGCATTACAACGCTTACTGTTGCCAGTAATTTCATTAAAATGTTTCCACATGCTGATAGAAGATTTGCATGATAAAAGTGTATCATTGTAGATAGCATTACGAATTTGATTTCAGATTTGATTTGAGAATTAATCTTTTTGAATTCTAACTTATCTCTGGGTTTGTATAGTGTATCTTTTTGCCTGCGAAGTTGTTTGAGACAAAGAGACGAGAAGCGGTCAAGGTGTTTGAATAGTGTTTGTTTGGGACAGCATATATCAAGGCAGAACTTAAGATAATCCGTTATATTGGCAATTGTGTCATCTAATGTACTTTCATGGAATAAATCCCAGTAATTATTTTTTAACATGCACCTTAGATTGAGTAAGCTGTCAGATGAGTAGCATCTTTGTTGTGTTTTCATAGATAAGTGTGAGAAGACTTTAATATGTGTTTTGCTGTATATTTTTGGTAAAACAAGAACAACACAGTGATCAGAGTTAAGGATTGGTGCACGTTTACGTGTTTCATGTACTCCTTCGTCATTAGTAAAAGCTAAATCGAGTGTTTTGTCAAGTCGAGTGGGAAATTCGACTATGTTTGCGTGACCGGGTGCTTCAAAGAAGGAGCAGTCTGAGGAGTTGAAATCGCTAGTAATAGCAGATAGAGAGTTGTCGAAGTTGGCAGCGGCGAACATGGTGAATTTGTCAGCAAAATTTGAAAGATCAGATAGTGAGCAACTGAGAGAAATGAACATGTTTGTAACAAAGATATATTTATATTTGGGGAGATGTTTGGGACGACATTTGACGGTAATGCAGTCTATGAAGTCATTTGAGAATGAAAAGCAAACATTATTAGAAATAGACCATTTGGAATGAATAAAAGTTGCAACGCCGCCCTCCTATCTCCTATTACAACAGTGTCGGTCTTGTCTAAATAGGATGAAGTCCTTTAGTGACAAAAGATTGTCATCATACAGTTTATTTAACAACGTTTCTTGTAATGTGACTGTTGCAGTATTATGATAAGTGTCAGTGGACATCAAAGATTGTAGGTACATTATCTAGTTACGCAGAGAGCGGCATTTGAAATGTTAAATAAAGCTAAATTCGAGATATGATTGCACCTCTCAAAGGCAGTGAGATAAAGGGATCTGAGCATAGCTAATGTACTAGCAGTATTGAAGTCTTAGCCCATGCTTTGTATCCAATATAAACGCGTGCAACCTTCGTCTTTAACATGGTCATCGGAAACAGTAATTTCACTCAATATGAATGATTATGCTGTTGCGTTTCTTATCCGAAATTTCTGTTTATTTTGTTATTATTGCATTCTAATCCCTGCTTGTAACCATGTTTATTAAACCCTCAACCAGAAAGGATTCTGGAACATTCTCAACCATTTACTATCAACACACTAGTGTCCAGTCTGGTTGATATCTTAGTCGACATTCAGTTGGTGCACTGAGTGAAGATGACATTCTTGGTTTCTGTTACTTTCCTTTTGCTGAGCTGTTTGTTGAGTTGCTTCGGCAACAGAAAAGTAACAGAAACCAAGAATGTCATCTTCACTCAGTGCACCAACTGAATGTCTGATTATTGTTTGAGCATCCACCGTATATATACAGTATGTAGTGTGTGTGAGGGGGGGAATTGTGGCACTATTTCAAATGACCTGAAGTTCACCTCACAGATTTGAATGCACATTTTTTTTAACAATTTTATTTTTCAGCTAACTGTACAATCGCATTATTATTATTTCAGAAAGAGAAGGGTTTAAGTAGCTGCACTAGAAATTTCTCAGTCAACACTGCACATATGATGATGAGAATAAAGATAATTAAAACGATGTACTTAGGGCGAGGTAGAGCTGAGGTGGATGAATAACAAAATTCTCAGAGATTATTCAATATGTGAACTGGTATAAAGATTTGAAAATTTCAGGTCAAGTGTTGGTAAGAAAAATAAGCAGTAAGATAATAATAACAATAAAGATAGATAGTGAATGTGAATTGAAGTAGAATGAATTCAGGTGGTAAAATTTAAACAGAA